TTTCCGGCGAGCATGGTGGTGGGCCGGCTGGGTTGCGTACCACTCGACTATTTGCGGGCTCAGGGACTTCCCATCGCCGGACTCGTCGGGGGCCGGGGCGTTGTCAGCTGTATGGGCGAGTTCGGCACTCACCCACTCCCAGGCTTCGGCAGCCGTTCTGCGGGCACAGGCAAGAATCTATCGCTGCGAATGGCTGCATCTTGCGCTGCTCGTTGACCACTCCGTATGCTCCATTTACCCCGTTCACATACCCGTACAAAAAGCGGCTGGTTGGACTGGATGGTACTCCAGGGGAGAAGCTGGTGTCGGCGGACCGTACCTCGCCTGTCCCCGGGTGCTATCTCGGAGTCCTTCCTGCGAGCTTGTGCGGCCAGGGCTTGTTCAACCGTGCTGAACCTCTGCTTCCTGGTTGTATTTGGCGGCCTCAGCGGCCTTCGCTCGTTGGGCTCCGGCTGCCTCGTGTTCAAGTAGGAGCTTCTGGACGGCCATCTCAGGGGCTCGTTCTTGCTCATAGTTTGCTGCGCGAGCCGCTTTTCCTCTTGGGCGACTTCCTCCTTAGCTCGTTCCTGGGCGGCCAGCTCCGAGATCTTCGGGCTCTCTCTGCCTCGTTCAGCGAGCCTTCGGGGGTGTCTTGCGGGCGGGATCTTCTGTGACCGGGATGGGTGTGCTGAAAGATCCGCCGGTATCGCTCGAGAAGGTCCCGGCGAGCGCGGGGGCTTCTTCGGCTTCGAAGGAGATCGACCCTCCACGTCCCTTGGTGCTTCCACTCGAAAAAGCTCGTTTGGCGTCAGGCGATCCCATGTTCACGGTTTCCACCGTGATCCGGGAGAGCGTTCGGCGGGTCCTTATGGAGCGCGGCTTCGTCCTCAGCTCGCTCTTTGGCTTGAAGAGCGGCGTTTCGTGGGGGACAAGGCGGTACTAGCGATTCTTCAAAGTATTTGTCATTGCGTCTAAGACCCCTTCAAAGGAGTACCACACCTGGTTGGACCGAGTAGCTCCTCGGTGCCGGCTCGGTTACACTCGATACCACGTCACTGAAACAAACATAGACGTACCTTTCATGACGAATCGGGCTCGACCAAACATCTCCTTGCACACCACTCGGCCGGTGTGCAAAAAGCCGCCATCTCCGACACCGGACCCTAAGGAAGTCAACTGTGTGACCCGCCGCTGCGTCATCAAACTCTAAGTCCATGCTTACTTTTCTTCAGAGTAAGTTTGGCGAGGGAGGCGGTCACTGTCGGGCAGCAGATACATTTTCAGGTTGCGGACGCTCACACTAATTACCCCAGTCAAAAAGGAAAATTGGTGTCGGGCGGCTGCAACTTTGGTTCAGAAAAGTGAACCTGATTTGTAGCCGCCCGATTAGTAGTCCTTCTAGCTAGTCATCAACACCACATGGCACACCACCTGTGCACCCACACTTCGGTCCACCACCTCATCCTTGATGAGTGGCTCTCCCGGATCCTGTCCGTCAGTCTCCCTTATGGTCGGCTCCCTGTTAACTCATACTCTCCGTTCTGTAGAATCTCTTCATTCCCTGTCTGGGAAGGTGGGCGCAGCGTTCGATCGAAGCTACTAGCTACCAACAGACCCACCACCACAAACAAGAAGGCTAACAGGCATACAATGGTATTAACTTGTAGGCTACCCTCAGGATGCTTGTTAACCTTCTTGGTTGTCGAGATCGGTCTGTTGGTAGCTACTAGCTAGTAGCGGTGATAGCTCGCCTCGATCGGATCGAATCCTTTTGTTATTCGAAAAGGCCAGGCTGGAATCGAATCCGAGAGCTCGGCTTACTCGAGCGTTTTGATTGGCCCTACGCGAATTCCAAATCCATTCATCCTGCGAACCGCAGCTCCACTTTTTTACTATAAACATTTCCTGCGGTTCGCCGTATCTGTGGATTTGGAGGTCACCTTTCCGAATTCGGCAGTTATTTCGATTTATTTTGATTTGGCGTATGCGCTGCCCAATGAAATATCATAGCCCTACGGGCTTGCTTTTGTTTCGGCAGCCAGCCAGAGCTTTCACGAAGGATGATAGAACCACCAAAGAACCCAACATTGAAGAAGCACAACTGGCGGTAATTTCAAGAAAGGGAAAACCAAGATTTCGGATACATCCCGTGGAAAGTTTCACTTTGGCAACCTCAATTTGGCTGCTTGTGAATTGTCGGGAACCGAAGTCAAGGTGGCAAGGTCTAGCTAGAGGCTATGTTCCTAATGGTCTACTTGATTACCATTATTCATAACCTTTTGATCTTTTACTCTATCTAGTCATTCATCTAAATCTGCATGATCCAAAGCCATCACCAAGTCTGGGTCCGTGACGGGGAAAACGCGTCGGAAGAAGCCGGACGCAAGAAATCTCGACTCCATTTTGGAGCACTTGCCAACGGTGGCAACTTCAAGATGTTGGAAGAGGCCCTACGCGAGAAAGCTAGAGCCATCGCGGACAAGGAAGCAAGCCCGGATTTGGTGCTACTTCAATTCGGAGAGAGGGCTAATGAGCTGGAGGATGACATTGACGAGCTGGAGGAAGGCTGGATTGATTGCTATTAATATCACTGCTTTGATTGTTGGAATGAAAGAGGATTGAGCTCAACAATTTGCATTCGAGTGGGACAAAATTCACGGCATGGATGCTGGTGTGGCATTGTTCAGAGGAACTGGTGAAGAAAGACAAGGGTCAAAAAATCGAATTGTCGGACGCTGCAAGGGTTGAGCGAACGCTTTTGCGTCTCAAATTTACTAGTAATTTATAAAAATACAATAGGTACTTATTTATCTAATGAGTGGAGTCTAATTCTCATGCATGATGTACAATACATAGTTCGTTTGTTTAGCAGCATCCATGGCTCAATTTGGACGGTGTTTAGTCCAGGTACGGGGTGATCAACCCGGCTACTTTTGCCTGTCATTGCCATGGTACTCGCACCATGGCCCAGGCCTCCACCGCCACATCAAGCTTTCCCTCTTTAGCATGTTGTGCTCCCGCCTTCAAGTTTGCTCTGGCAGTTTACCGCTCTGCGGGCTTGTTTATCAAGCACTCAACTAACCACACGACGGCACGACGGTACCGGTACCGGCACAAGAGCGAACGAGTAGACTGTACTGTACTAGTAGACCACCACCTTCCTTGAGAGGTGCGAGTCGAGTCCGATCCGCGGTACATTCCTCTAGACGCACACCTGCTCCTACTTTATGCTCGCGGGTGAAGTCAATCAAGAAGGAGATCGAGAGAACCAAACCATCTTATTCTTCCATCAAAGATGCTCAAGTCGATCCAACGTTCCAAAAGAGGCATCGGGGGCTCCAATGCTTCCGATGCGCGAAGTACATGGCGGATGGTATCTCTGATTCTCCTTGGATTATCTCTGATTGCCTACAGATCCATCAAAAGTCCGTTCGATGCTTCATTGGGTACTCGTCTGAAATCCTCCACCAGTCTCTTGCTCACGGATCTCATCTACGAGCCCTCGCCTCCACAATTCAGCCAAGCCAACATTGCCCGTCCCATCTGCACCGAACCAACGGGAGGACAGTGCCGCGTGTCCAATGGTCCCGTTCCGCTCTCCTCTTTGACAAACAATGGAACCAACAACTGCTACACATGCGATGGTAGATGCTCCAATCATGCCACCTGCTTCTTTGGCACCTGCATGTGCCATCCGGGATACGAAGGGCCCACTTGTGAGGACAAAATGCTCATTGCCAATCCCTGGTATACCGCCGATTGTCCCAATCTGCGTGATGAGGTCAACACGTTGAATGTCAATGCCACTAATCTCGGTGGGGTGGAGTTTTGCCACGAAGGACTGGCAGAACACGCCTCGTTGGGAACAGGCTTGAGCTACTGTGCCTATCTGTGCTACTCCAATGTGGCCTATGGGTCGGCCATTGTCCCACACGCGCTATGGAAAAAGGCACAAGAAGCCGAAAACAATCTATGGGCCAAGATTTCCCGCGGAAACAATGATCGATACAACGATCACTTTCAAGGATATGCCCAATACAAGTGCGTCCCACGAGACCTCGGTCATGTCGTGGAGTTTGGTACCGGACCATGGACGCAGATCCGCGGATTGTTGAGTCTTCGACCAGATGTCAAGGTCAAGAGCTACACAGTGTTGGAGCCGGGAGCGGACTTTTACATTGAAAGTGTTGCCAGCTGCGCGTACAAAACTGGAAAACTTTCCAAGCATCCTGATACTTCCAATTTCCATGATTTCCCAGTCTTTGTCAAGTCTAGTCTGGGAGGTGAGTTTTTTTCTACTGAATCACTGTGCTTTTCTTTCTTGTTGTAGTTGATCCATTCCTGTCTCTTGTATGTATTGTGCTCGCGGAACGAAACCAACCAACCAACCAACCAAACACAAAGAAACGGCCATGGCGACGAACCTTCAGTTTGACACCGTCATGGTATCCAATGTCATTGAACACGTCCAAAACGCGGTAGATTTCTTGCACGGAATTCACAAAAGTTTGAAACCTGGTGGTCTCCTCATCTTTCATGATCGGTACTTTTCGTATCCCGAGGCAGGCGACAAGGTATTGGGGAGGAATGTATTCCATCCCATTCGATTGACCCAACGATTCTTTGATCTTTTCTTGGCTGACTTTGACATCATCTTTAACAATTGCGAAGGTGAAAAGACTATCCACGGATGGAAGCAACGAAATAGTGGCGAACGAGGCTACTACGTCGTTGCTCGCAAAAAGGTACCAGCTACCACCGGCGTCGCCAGCAATGAGTGATACTGGAACGCGAGCACCAGACAATGTTGGCGGAGACAACCAGATCTGTGATGATGTAGACGCGTTGGAAGAAGCCAGACTTGAGAAAGCTAGAGTCCTGGAGCTAAAGCAAGCTCGCTTTTGCTGTGTCTCTAATTTTACCAGTAATACAAATATTTATTTATTTTTATTAAAAAATGATGCATGTGAGTTCGTTTCTCTAGTACTGTACTAGCTACCGTATCCAGCCAAAGCGCAAAAATCTCTCTTCAAGTTGGCTGCATTGCATTGGTTGCTTCCTGAAAAAAATTCTATTCTAGCTGGCTCTAGCTACCAGGTAGTAAGTGTAACTTGAAAGAGAGGAAGGTTTGTTGCATTTGTTGTACTGGTACCGGTATGGTGCTGGCGCCATGGCTCGTGCCTCCACGCCTTCAAGCTTTTCAATGGAGATGGGACTGGTCTATTACCGCTCGGCTGGTTTAATAAAGAACGTCAACTGCCATTCTCATTCACCTTTGACACCACAAAAAGATCGGGACAGGACTATTGCTTCCAAAGCACACATCAAGATAGCAATCTCCTTCATTTCCCTTCCTCTAGCTAAGCACTCTAGCTAGCTAGCAAGACAAGATGGCTGTTGGTACGAGTTCTAGCTCTACCAGTACTAGCTCAAATAAGAAACGCAAGAAGGGCGAACCTACAGATGCGATGATTCGTCGACCTCGGCGTTCGATCACTTCGTTTACGATGGAAGAGATTTGTGACTTGCGTCACTTGGTGGGAGCTCAAAAGGAAGATCCAACGGTGGTGGCACTCATCTACGTTCATGGCTCTTGGAACACCAAAGCCTGTTTGCCCAAGCACGGTCAAGTCGACCGCTTTTCACTGCTGGAGGGGCTTTTTTCCCGTGCTTCCAGTAATACCAGTACTTCTACAAGTAGTGATGAGTACTGGAACGTGATTGGAGCACTGCAAGTGGATCGATCGGATGACACGTATGCTTGCTGTGTGGGAGATGACTCGTTCGCTGGAGCTCATTCTCTGCAAGACTTACCCATTCCACCGGATCAGTTGCCCGTCTTGGCCGTTGCCATTCATACGCCGGACCGAGAACATGCCAGAGTTAAATACTTGACTCAAATTCCTCCTTCCCAGTTGCTGTGGTATTCCGTACTCCAACGAAATCCGAAACTGCAGCAAAACAAACAAGCGGCTGAAAACGTGCAACAAAAATGGGCCAACATTCTTCAAACCAACATTCAAGAAACCATTCAAGGAATCCAACAAGAGGACAATCAAACACACAATCCAGTAGCAGTAGCAGTACCAACCAATAGTAGCCAACAACAACAAGAACAACCCATTCGCATCTTTGTGGCAGGAGATCGATCGTCCGTGGGAAAATCCAGTGTCTGTTTGGGATTGCTGGGAAGTCTACTCCAAGCTCCCTTTCACTACCAACCCTCCCAATTGGCATATATCAAACCGGCCACACAATGCGAAGCCACACAGTTGGTACAAACCTTTTGTGAAACCAAAGGCATTGCGCAACGAGCCGTGGGACCACTCGTCTATTACAAGGGATTCACACGCGCCTTTCTCGCGGGGGAAACTGATTCCACGCAAGCATTACTCCAACAGTGTGCCGCCGCCGTCGATGATATTGCACGCAACAAGAAGGTCGTATTGGTTGATGGAGTAGGATTTCCCGCCGTGGGAAGTATTTGTGGCACGGACAATGCATCCGTCTGCAAGGCGTGCAGTTATCCTATCTCCACTAACTCGGGTGGAAGTCGACATCCCATGGGAGTCTTGATTGTGGGGGGCAGCGGCGTTGGAGCGGCCGTTGATAGTTTCAATCTCAATGCCACCTATTTCCAACACGCCAACATTCCCGTCATGGGAGGCATTTTCAACAAATTATCGACCGATCCCAAAGATTACTACTCCTTGGAGCATTGCAAAACAGCCGTCACGGCCTATTTTGAACAACGACAACACGCACCACAAGCCTTTGGATTTGTACCCAAATTCGATGCCATGGACGAATCCGTAGACGAATTCATCAACGTCTTTGGCAGTCATGTCAATATTGCAGGGATTCTAAAAAGTGCCCAACAAATTCAACAACAAACACAACAAACAGCAGCAACGACGACGACGACAACGAGCAAGACAACGGTGGATACGGTCCATGTGGACGGTTGCACCGTGACTGTTACCACAACCACCACTAGGAGCCAACCCAACGACAATGACAGTGGCAATCAAAGCAACAAAAGCAACAAACGAGTCCGTCTCGGCAGCGGTCAAGGAACTCCATTTGATCCCAACGTGCGTAGTAGTCACTTTCCAACGAAATTGAAAACCAAATTAGATCAGGAAGAAGGAACAACGAACAAAAAGAGGAAACCACCATTGTCACGAGACGATATTGAATTCATGGCATCGCAAGCAGGAGCGGCCGGTACGGCGTGAGGAGCAAAGCGGTAAATGCAATGAATGAAATGCACAAACAACCATGAAGTTTGGTCTGGGTTTTTTGTTTTGCTACAAAAAACCGAATGACGTGTCATTTCCCAACAGCCCATCAATCGATGTGATGGCTGAGGAGATGGCATTGAACAACAGCCAACAGGTAGTGTGCATTTGCATTGCATTGCACTGCATGGCATTGCTTTATCAATTTTTGTTTCCAACTAAGTATCCCCGTGGAGTTTTTGCGTCGACCGAGTATGTACCGGTAAGAGGTACTGTACGAGTAAAAACAAAAACCACTTGTACAAGTACCGATAATCGTAATGTTCTGCATATTTTATGTGTTTGTTGTGAGTTCCCTGCGCAGTCGACCGTGCCAACCGCATATTATTAGTATAGCTAGCTCTTCTTTTGGTTCTTTTTCGGGTGTACATATGCCACCTTGGCAGCAGGAGGAAAGTTGGGCGGTTGTGATTCATTTTGTTGTTGTTCTCGTTCTAGTTCTTCTTGCTGTTTCAGTTGTTGTCGTAGTTGATCTTGTTCTTGCAACCACTCCCGTTGTTCCTGTATCCGCTCCTGAATATCGGCTAAATGATGTGCGTCGTTGTCGTCATTGGCAATGGCACATTGGAAGAGATCTTCCTTGGTATTATTAGTGGCGGAACTGGTACTAAATACGTATCCATTGCACTTGTCAATTTTGGCCAATACACGTCCCACCGATTCGGCATGGGTAATATCGAGTGGTAAGAATCCGAGCAATCCAAAATCCTCCACGACATCCGCTAGAGCACGCTGCAATTTGTCTCGTTTTTGTCGAAACTTGGACGTGCGTGTTTTCTGTCGAGCTTTTTGATAATCGGGATCGTCGGCAAAATCGAATTCATCTAGATCATCGTACTGGTTGGCCGTGTCGAGTGTCCCCATGCCATCGAGAAAAGGCACGAGTCGTTGCAAGTCGTGACATTCGGTAAAGAATTCGAGTCCAAAGGGCAAATCTCCATCTTGGTCAAATTGCGACAACAAATCGACTTTGGAAAGGACATTGACAGTGGGCAATTCGAGTCGAATCATGGTAGTGGTCCCCAGCAAGGCAGCCGACAAGAATTTGTGTGGATCGGCACAGTAATGGGCGTCAATCAGTTGAACAGCCGTCAAGCGCAAATCCAAACTCTTGACGAGTCGCTGCAGGATGTGTTGGACACACGTGGAATGCGTGTAGAGTTCCACTTGACCTGGCAAGTCAATGATCAGATAGGTCGGTGTCGTTGACTTGTACTCTTGAATGCGCTGCTGCAACATGCCAATGATTTCTTCGACGTGTTCTTCCAAGTACTCCATGCAAAACATCAATCCACCATTCGGACCCAATCCCGTCTGTTCCATCACGGCCGACAGATTCACAACTTCTTCGCAGACATCGAAAATGGCAGAGTAAGGAAGTTGGCTGTTGCCAGTGTCGTTAGTATCCTCGTCATCTTCCTCTTCTGTAGCAGTATTACCAGCAGTACTAGAAGACGGCACAAACTGACCCATCTCATTCGCTGGATCCAAATTGATCACCGCCGCATTGCGTCCCAAAATCTCTAGATAGTGCTGCATACCATTGCAGTACGTTGTCTTGCCACTCCCAGGAGGACCACACACCACTTGACCATACACTGGAGACATACTTCTGTATAACGACTAGTATAGTATGACTACTGTACTCTGTAGATCTAATCAAACCACCAAAGATAGAAGGATTGAGAAAGAGTGGGAAAGAGGATTGTGTGGTGGGGTGGGTTTGATCGGTGAGACAGTGTGCGACTTGGAAATCTTACTCTCAATCGTGGATACTGAACTTACTTTTTAGAAACTATGTACTGTACGCTTTGTCCCGCTGAAGACAGCCGCCATGATGTTGCCTCCTGGAACCGAGAAATGCATCTCTCAGCATGTACCGTACCGTACCATAATGCACTAGCTAGCTACCTGGTAGTATGAAGCCACTTTGGCTTCGAATCGAATAGAATCGATGACACAGTAGAGCTTGGACAGATCGAAACATTGGATTGGATTGCGAGTGCGATGTTGCTGCGAATATTATTCTGCACAATCCATTACATGTAGTGATGCTGCTACCTACCGTACCTCAAATAATTGTTGTGATTGACATAGTCTAGTCTAGAAGTGAAATCCAGAATCGAATCGAATCGTTCGTTCTTTTGACGCCCGGCAAGCTACTAGTAGCTAGTCTCACGCACTGCATAGAGTACTGGTACAGTAGTCACTCGAAGAAGGGCCGAGCGAACTTCTTACGAGGATGTCAGAACAGCATGCGGAAGGTGAGAGTGAGGTCCTCTTCCAGTGTGTTCCATCCTTTTATACGCACTCGCCGCCCACGGCGTGGATCATGTCCAGATGGATTACTTTGCTGTATGTAGTACTAGATTCTAAGAAGAAGCTTTCTTCTTGGAGCCACAGGCTGCTTTCATCGAACATAAATTTTTAAAAACTGCTTGCTGTAGCGAGCTGCCTACCTTGCCCTCGTTGCTTTCCCGACCCGCTACCGGTACAGCCAACTTCTTCAGTGGCTAGAGTGGCTGAGTTGTTTGCGGCTTCCCAATGGTTGTTACAGTATAGTGCTACTCTAGAGTATAGTGGCTGAACTGGAGACCCCATCAAAGCTCGAGAGCACTCGACACCCGGCCGCACATGGTATCTGCGCAGGATTGCACTTAGCTAGCTAGGAGCACCATCTGGCCACTACTCCGTAGCTTTTCGCCACTGGAGTACTAGCTAGCTAGCTAGCTAGCTAGCTAGCTTAGCTAGCTAGCTAGCTAGCTAGTAATTTCATAGCGGCACTCTGGCTGGACCATGCCTCGCGAGGGAAGCATGAAAGCGCTCAGCAGGCAGCTGGGGGAAGATTCGGTTGGGTTCCTCCCCATGAACCATGAAGAATCTATCAATCAATCCAATCGTTTTCACACCACATCGATCGGACAGCAATCAAGACCTGCGAGCTGTGCTGTTGGCCTTCACTCTTTGCTACCGAGTGTCGAAACATTCCGAAGCGAACTAAGATCTTCCCTACTCTAGCTACTAGCTACCAGGTAGTACTTCAAAATGTCACTTTCCACCAATGGCACATGTCTGTTCATAATGCCACTGTGAGAGCTACCGGTATGCATATTGCCTTTGTGTCTTGGGTCAGAAACCAGCTGCCTCCTTCTTTTCTTTGGAGCTTTGGAGCTCAATGTTTTTTTGAGTAGGCCCCCATCTTACGCCTTTTCTGTACTGTGTGCATCGACTTTTTACCATCAGACATGCAGCGCAAAATGACTCTCACAGGAGGCGCAAGTTCTAGCTAGCTAGCTAGTGCACATACATCACAATATCAAGCCAAAAGCAAGGGGTCAAGCTATTGGGGTCGGTTTCAAAGAAGGATTTTGTGATGGGGGAGCTGATGGGGGCTATTAAAATACATTTGAGTACATAATAATTGCCAAACTGAAAATGACTTGGGGAGTCGAGTCCCAAAGAACTTCCTCTCACCTCTTTACACTTTACAGTACCAACATGGAACTTCCGATCAGGGGTGTCTCTCCCTCCTCTACCAATGGTTTGGCCTTTCTGTACTAAAGCGGTCAATAGCCAAATACTCGAGTACTCGAGTAGACCTACTGGAGTAACCAATAGCCAAACATCTGTGCCTGTCAAGCCCAAAACGATCGAACCGATCTTGCAGTCATAAAAATATCCTCAGGCAAGTTCGCTCCAGTTTATTTTAGCTCAGCACCAATCGCTTCATTTACCTCCCAAAGACTTCCTCCTCAAACACTTCCACCATGACAGCTTCCAACCCTTCTCAACTGGCTTGCCTCAACGACGCTGACGGTCCAGAAGACTACGACGATGAAGACTACAACCAAGATGTGGAATCCGTCGCCTACTCGAATGCCGGCACGAACGTCACTGACTTTGGCACCAAGAATCTGCAAAAAGAAGAACGTGAGACTCTGGCCAAGAAGGAGAGCCAAGCAGTCAGCATCATCCGTATTGTTGTCTATCTTGTTGTGATTCTCGTTGCCGTCACAGTGTCCCTCCTGATCTACTTTTATACCAAGAATGACCAGCAGCAAGACTTTGAAGTGGGGTTTGCCGCCTATGCCATGAAGGTGACAGAGTCCTTCTATGACTCGGTGGAACGCAAAATTGGAGCCATTCATTCCATGTCCACTCAGATTACATCCTATGCAGGTAAGCTCACTACTTTCTGGCGTCAGCAACCTCTCTTCTTCGCCTTGACTATACTCTCACACTGACTGAACACTGAACCTCCACTCTTTCATTGTTACAGTCAGCACTGGAGCAAGCTTCCCCAACGTCACTATTCCTCACTATGAACTTCAAGGAGCCAATGCCCGCATCCAGGCTGCTGGTGTCATCCTGTACTTCCTGCCTCTTGTCACGGATGAAAACAGAGCCGGATGGGAAGAGTATGCAGCTGCCAACCGGCACTGGGTCATGGAGGCCTTTGGCAAAGAGATTGCATGGAAGAATGCACAAGATGCCAAGTTTGGACTCGGGACCTTTGAACAAGTCAGTGGTGAGGGGAAAGAAGATGGAGGCAGCAGGATGCTCCAAAAAACCGGCACAGATGCAAATGCACTCGAACAAGTCACACTGGAAGATGGCTACAACGTTCGTGTATTTGGGAGCTCTGGTGGAACCCCACAGCCACTTAATTCTGGACCTTTCTTGCCATTATGGCAACTGACTCCTGTTCTGCCCATTATAAATTTCATGAACTTTGATATGTCGAACCACTCAGCGGTGGCAGCTTCTCTCGATGCTGCCGTTGACAGTCATCAGATCGTCATGAGTCAAGCCCATGACTTGAAGGACCCAAATGATGACACGAATGAATCTGAGAGTCTCTACAATGCTTTCCTGGAGGCTGGCCAATATCGTCATGACGCAGAACTGTTTGAGGGTGATCCCACCACCAACCTTCTCTATCCTGTCTTTGACTCCTTTGGTCCCAATCGCACCCTTGGTGGACTCTTGATGACTTCTTTATACTGGAGGTTGAACTTTGATGAGATATTGCCAGACACTGCCAAGGGGATCACCGTTGTGTTGGAGAACTCACTGAATCAGAGCTTTACCTATAGAATTGATGGCCCTCATGTTACCTTCCTGGGCCCCGGAGACAGGCATGATCCCCGATATGACTCCATGGTTGTGTCAGAAGATGTCACTGAGCATCTGCAGGCAAGGGCTGGTCCCGAGAATCAAGGGTTTGACGCAGCTGATCTTAATGCTGAACACTGCAGGTACAAGCTATCCGTTTACCCTTCCCAAGACACAGAAGATGAATATGTGAACAACGAGCCCATCATCTTCACCCTTATTGTGGCTGGAGTGTTCCTGTTCACATCCTTAGTCTTCATTCTCTATGATTGGTTGGTGGCACGGCGGCAAAGGATTGTCATGGACAAGGCTGTCCAATCAACTGCCATTGTCTCCAGTCTGTACCCCAAGCAGGTCAGAGATCGCATGTTCGAACAAGAACGAAATGATACTTCCAAGCAGGACAATCAGTGGAGGCGCTCTGTTGAGAAAGAATCAAGAGTTGACAAACTTGCCTCCTTGAATGATTCCATCAAATCAGACACCCCGATTGCTGACTCCTATGAAGCTTGCACTGTTTTATTTGCTGATTTGTCTGGGTTCACAAAGTTCTCTGCCTCCCGAAAACCAGAAGATGTTTTCTATCTCTTGGAAACGCTCTATCAGGCCTTCGACAAGATTGCCACGAGAAGGAAAGTCTTCAAAGTGGAAACGGTGAGTGCTTCGCAGGGATTTTCGAGCTCTTGCCCTGGATTGATTACAGAATTCTGACTGCATTTTCTCTCTCGTTTTTGGTGCAGATCGGCGATTGTTATGTAGCCTGTACTGGTCTTCCCGAGGCTCAACCCAATCATGCTGTTATCATGATTAAGTTTGCAAGAGACTGCTATTCAAAGATGAGCCAGCTGTTGCCTCTCCTGGCAGAGAAGTTGGGGCCTGATACTGAAACACTTTCCTTCAGAGTGGGTCTCCACAGTGGACCTGTTACAGGTGGAGTGCTTCGTGGTCAGAAGTCCCGCTTCCAGCTTTTTGGTGATACCATCAATACTGCCTCCAGGATGGAGAGCCTTGGGATTGCTGGCAGGATCCATATTTCTCAAGCCACTGCTGATGAGTTGACCAGCAAGGGATTTGGAAGATGGGTGGTGCCCAGGGAAGACAAAGTGGAAGCCAAGGGCAAGGGGGAAATGCAGACATACTTTGTGAGTGTGCAGGATGCTGCCAAGAGCTTTGACACAACTGTATCAGTGGACACCTTTATGGCGAATGAATCCGCTACATTAGATGAGAGTGATCAACGCCAAGATTCTTCATGCGTTGAGAATCGTCTAGGGAACCAGTCTCCTCTTGCTCCGTGTCCAGAAGCGAGCAATGATGCGTCTGCGATGTTGAAGACGGATATTGAGATCTGAGGGTTAGCAGTTAGCAGAGGGACGTAATCGAGATAATCAGAATTACATTTTGCGTATTAGATCATTGAGTGCGTACGGGATCTTTGCAACGCGCCTGAAGGTTGCAACTAGCTACCCGTAGCTAGCTGGTTGGCCAATACAGCAGGTCCACTCGATGGAATAAATGTGGACACCAGTGCACCGGCCATTCTTTGGCGCAGAGGAAATCTTGGACGGGCAGGCTGCCTGTGTTCTGAAAGTGCCAGTGGCGTGACGGCAGGTCTTGGGCTGCAGAGACTCAAGTCGCAACATCCATCGATGGGTTATCATGCACTTGTCTTCCTTCACGCCTTGAGTTGAATCGAATCCTCGAAACCACAATAGACCAGGATTCTCAAAGAGTCAGTGAATGCGCTATAGATTGATGTGCGCGTCTACAGGTAGCACAGCCGATAACTCGATGCCACTCGAACAAGACCTTTCCATTTGGTACGGAGGGACGAGTGTCTCTAGAGCTAGCTACCGGTACGGGTCGTCCCAAAGCTTGACTTTGGTTCAACAGGCAACGAACACGTCTTGACCTTTTGTGGCGCTTTCAGTCCAGCATGCATCAGCCGGTTCCTCCTTACACGTGAGCATGGGTAACGAATGATTCAATCGCAAAGCAATTTGGCACGGTGTCGGCTGTCTTTGCATGGCCAGCCATGGCGTAAATACGATGTCAATTTGAGGCTGCGATTGCTCCTGGTTGGATCGACGACGTTTTCTTGTATGTGCCCCATCCGACCTTCGACACAGCAGTTGCTCCTGTACGATACCGGTACATCAGCGGAGGGGTGATGCTTCTGAGATCACGAAACGGGCAGCACTTTCCTCTTGTGTGCCACAGTCGACTACAAACGTACCAAACGTAGCGAGGTTGCAACAGAACGAAGTATCGGGACAAAATTGAACTCACGTCAGGAGTTTATCTTGCCTTGTCTTCTTGCCAACGGGTATACAAGCAACCTCTTTGATTCGTCGCTCTGTCAGCAACAAAGCATCTCTCCTCTCGAGAGGCCCTCGTTCCTGTGGGCGCCGCGAAATGCAGTGCGATCGTGATTTTCTCTGTCGCCTGCCTCTTATAAGGGTCTTTACAAACGCAAACTCAAGAATACAGCAACTTTTCATTCAAGGCCTTCACTCACGAAAGCGAGTACGAAAAGTCAAGCATCTTCACAGCTTCGAATTGCTGGGAGATGGCAAGAGAGACTGACGCCCTCTCTATAATTGCTCCGACGTTTTCCACGCAGGAAATAGAGTGCCTGATTAGAAGTTACTTCAAGTACATGTATGGTGCACTGGCATACACTTCCGACCACGTGCCCGCTGCGTTCTTGCTTTGCTCCACAATCAACTCGTGCTGATCATATCTCAATCTCAGTAGCGATTGCCTTCTTCGCAGCATCGTCCGTCTCGCCAAGCAAAACATCGGCTGGGGAAGAGCTGTACGCAGTAGGAGCACTGCTGCCGTTCCCATTAAGGTTGCTGCCGTCGCGGTTCTGCTCCATGCCTCCCATGCGTGGGAGATCGTCGGACAGAAAGTTCCTGATGGACATACTCGAAGACAACACGGACATATCTGTACTTTTCATACTCCTCGCATTATCGAGGATGTTTGCAAAGTATGTCTGCATTTCTCCCTTGCCTTTGGCTTGCACTTTGTCTTCCCTGGGCACAACCCATCTCCCAAACCCCTTGGAAATTAATTCGTCTGCTGTTGTCTGAGACATGTGAATCCTACCAGCAATCCCAAGGCTCTCCATCCTGGAGGCAGTATTGATTGTATCGCCAAAAAGCTGGAAACGCGATTTCTGGCCACGAAGCACGCCACCTGTCACTGGACCACTGTGTAAACCCACTCGGAACGAAAGTGTTGCAGCCTCAGGCCCCAACTTCTCTGCTAACATTGGCAGCAGAAAAGACATCTTTGAATAGCAGTCTCTCGCAAACTTAACCATGATAACAGCATGATTGGGTTGAGCCTCGGGAAGACCGGTACAGGCTACGTAACAATCACCAATCTGCACCAAAAACAAGCCAGGAACTAGGGTCAGGAATATGGAATCAATGCATCGCACTAGCAGTAGAAGGGAGCCGAGAAAAACTCACCGTTTCCACTTTGAAGACTTTCCTTCTCGTGGCAATCTTGTCGAAGGCCTGATAGAGGGTTTCCAAAAGGTAGAAGACATCTTCTGGTTTTCGAGAGGCAGAAAACTTGGTGAATCCAGCCAAATCCGCAAATAGAACCGTGCACGCTTCATAGGTGTCGGCAATGGGTCGATCGAGAGATTTGGATTTCTTCTCATCATACTCTAGTAGGCCATTTACATCAGCTTCCTTCCCCTCGCCTGCTTTCCAGGCATCGGAATGACTATTGGAAGCATGGCTTTTATCATCCTTGAAGAGGCGATCCCTCACTTGTTTGGGGTACAGACTAGACACAATCGCAGAGGATTGGACTGCCCGGTCCATGACAATCCTTTGTCGCCGGGCAACCAACCAATCGTAGAGAATGAATACAAGAGAAGTGAAAAGGAACACAGATGCCACCAAGACAGTATACAAAACAGGCTCATTGTTGACATATTCTGCTTCTGTGTCCTCAGAAGGGTAGACATGGAGGTAGTATCGGCAGTATTCCGTGTCCAGCTCTGCAGCATCAAATCCTTGGTTTTCAGGACTAGCACGAGTCAAGAGCTTTTCTGTGACGTCTTCTGACACAACCATGGAATCATACTTGGGATCATGCCTGTCCCCTGGTCCAAGGAACGTCACGTTCGGTCCATCAACTCTGTAGGTGAAGACTTGTCCTCTGGTGTTGGTGATCACACACATGATCCCCTTGGCAGTGTCGGGCAGAATAGCCAAGAAGTTTAGTCGCCAGTACAAGGAAGTGTTGATGACCCCTCCGAGGGTTTTGTTTGGTCCGAAATTGGTAAAGACTGGGTATACAATGTTGGTTGCAGGGTCTCCTTCGTACTTTTGGACATCATGACGATACTGTCCAACCTGCAAAAAGGCATTGTACAAGGCAGTGGAGGCGTCCTCCTTGTGAGAGGGATCCCGCACATCATGGGCGTGGCCCATGACCAGCTTTTCACTGTCAACGGCAGCATGCAAAGAGTCTTGGACAGCAGTATGATTGAGCATGTCATAGTTCAGGTATTTGACGATTGGCAAGACGGGCGATATCTGCCAGATGGGCAGAAAGGGTCCCGATCCAATAGCGCTTGGCGTGCGTCCCGTTTCAAAGATGTGATAGCTGTAGCCACCTTCCATCTCCAATGGCTGCAACTGCAACTCTGGAGGCACAGTGGCATTCTCCAACTGTTCTTGCTCCTGCAAGCGTCGGTTTCTGTTGTTGTTGTCTTGTTGTTCTTGTTGGTTGCTTTGCGTAGTACTAGTAGTTTGTTCGAATTTCCCCAATCCAAACTTGGCATCTTGGGCACCCTTCCACTTGGATTCTTTCAGGAATGCAGATCTGATCCACATTCGGTTGTTGGCTGCATATTCCTCCCAACCGGCCCTGTCTTGGTCCCGCACCAAGGGGAAGAAGTATAGAATGACCCCTGCCGCCTGAATGCGGGTATGAGCACCTCGAAGCTCAAAATCTGGAACAGTAATATTGGGAAAGGTGGCCCCAGTGTTGACTTCACATGCGTAGACCAGAAGAAGATAAGAACCAAGGAGTGAGTGGCGAGACTATAGGATCGATCCGATGGCAGCCCTCAGACAGACGCAGCAGGAGATACTTACCAGCATAGGATGTGATGGTCGTGGAGAAGGTAGCAATGGCTCCCATTTTGCGTTCCACCGAGTCATAGAAGGATTCTGCCACCTTGGCAGCGAAGGCAGCAAACTGTGTTTCAAAATCTTGCTGTTGGTCACTTTTGGTATAAAAGTAGACCACAAGAGAGACGGAAATGGCAACCATCAGGACTACCAAGTAGACGACAATGCGGATGCAGCCGACTGCTTGGGATTCTCGGCGTGCCAAAGTCTCACGTTCTTCCTTTTGCAGATTCTTGGTTCCCACCACATTGTCGTCATCTTGCTGGTGTGCGCTCGTGTCAATGTTGGAATGCACCAGAGATTCCAAATCTTCGTCATCAAAGTTCGCCTCGTCTTCCTCTTCCGTATCATGGCTCTGATTGTTGTGGTGGTGCATCTGGGATGCTGCCAAGGGAGATCGTGTCATGGTCGCTCTGTTTGGGTGGGGATCACTAAGAATTACTTGGACTGATTGTGAAGGAGGAAGGAGGGATCCACCTTGTTGGACTGTCACTTGCCGGTTCGAATCGAATCTGTGCTTTTGCAGCTGCTTCCTTCAATGACTCGACTCGGCTCATCACGTTCGGGAAGCACATTCAAGTTCACATTCTTGGGAAGATGCGAAGCAACACTCTTTAAAACCAAATTTGACCTTCTCTTTATTAGAGCCTTTGAATGGTTTAAAGTGAAGGTGAAGGAGAAAGATTTCTTCATGTCCTCTAATAAGGCTGGCTCGATGGTACTCGTACAGTAGCCAGTACTGTGCAGCAAAGGGTTTAGACGTAGACCTTCTAGCTAGTAGTACTTTTCGGTCACTCAAGGGCCATCTATGACATATCTGTGACCATAGCAAAGCAATACTAGTAGAGCAATAGTAATACATGTAGTGCAGTACCTACATTGTACATTACAAGAGTACCATGATATCACAGGAACAATCATCCTGTTGGGTCTTGGACAAACGGGTTTGTGGTTTGGTCTGTGGATGTGAGAATAAATGACCAGATAGCTACTCTAGCTACCAGTACTAGCTAGAGTTCTCAGAGTAGCTAGTTGGTTCCGTCCCAGAGGAGAATACCACCTTTGGATGATCATTCTTTGGATGTGGCGATAGTAGGTCTACATGTATTTGCAACTCTTTGAATAAACTCCCAGATCGTTCCATATGGTCCCGCCAGCCACTAGCCATCGTACCAGATGGTCCCCCACTGACTCCACTCGGAGTTTGAAGAGCATTGCACAAGCAATTGCCACACTCACCTACTATCTATTTCCTTTCTTGCCCATTCCAGGACACCAACAAGCTTACCAAAGACCTCTGACAGACGGACTCACTCGGAGGTTAATTGCTTACCAAAAGACCACTGTCGGATTGGGAGGTCAATTGCTCTTTGGCAAGCTAGCTTCTAGGCTACCTGTAGCCACGCGGAATGCAAGGGTGCGGTCGAGGATAAAAGAATAGAATCGCGACGGGACCGATTTCGACGTGGCTGTAATGAAAAAGTCTTTTTCATTTATTTCTGTTCCAATTGAATTCCCGAACAGCATGAGAATGCTTTCTCATCGAAGATTTGTACATGTATGTAATGAAATGGTTAGAGGGAACTTTGGGAGGGGGGGGGGGGTGTACCACCAGGGGAGAGAGCAGCATGCACAAGGGCAACTGTTGGACGAGATGCTTCTGAACATTGTGGCTGTTGTGGCAGTGAGATGCATTGCATCTGCTGCTGCGGCCTACGGATGAGCCAAGAAGGAACGAATGGAGCCAGGAGGATAGTTGTGACGCAGTAGAGGGAGGTTCAGGAGCCAATCAAGAGGAACAAAAGCAGAAGGCGGGATGGCGAGCAAGCAAAAAAGGACGAGAGAAAGGATAAAAAAACAGTATACCGGTAGTACTAAAGAATGACAGACTCAAAAGTAATCGATAATATTACATGACAACTCTATCTCAGCCTTCCTGATTTTGCTCGTTGATCATCAACCTCAGCTGTTCAACCAGGATAACACCCCAGGAATGTCGCAACACCGCGATCCGTCTCGATTCTCGGAGAGGCATCATTTCTCCATGCAATCTTTTTAGTGGTCGAAGTCTCGACAGCAACCTATAGTATCCTGCAGCTGCCAGAACATTGCTCTCGCCCGGTCAGGGGTGGGCAGCTGAGTGCGATGCACCTGCAAGACCAAGAAGCGTGAGCTGTTGCACCGCAAGTACCTGAAGCTTTCTCCCCGTTACAACAAGGTACTAAGTGAGGGTACGACTGGTCCTCTACATTCTCTCCTTGTACAGCCGCACATGGAGTTATCTCGCGACTTCTGAGGAGGTTGGTGTAGTGATAGAGAGGATCTTTGAGGGCATTGGTAGCCGCGGGAGTACATGTACGTGGAGATGGTTTCAGTTGTCTTGACCAGGACGGAGCCAGCGTTTCCTTAACGGAAGTAGAAGCAACAGCAGCCCCAGCACCACGACAAGTACTTTGGACGCCACGGAAGCAACTTTTTGTGCCAGTGTCTTTCGTCTCACGCTCGTTCGCCCTTTGTGTTCGTAGAGATGTTTGTATTGTTCAAAACCGGGTGGTGGTTGTCCATGTTCACACCACTCCATTCGAGTGACTTCTTTGGTGGTGGTATTCATGCCAATCATCTTCATGTAGTCGTCCAGAGTTCGATCAGCAGTAGTGCCCATGGCGTACTGGTCGCTGGCAGTCAAGATGGAACTACTCGCGACCATGTCCCGAGAGTATTCGGGGTAGTCCAACTGATGCTTGATCCGTTCCCCAACCAGTTCCTGTTTTTCAGGAAGAAGAGCAGCACTTGTTGAGGCTACCGTCCAGAAGAATGACACATGATTGTTTTCTCGACATGACAGAACGTATGGTCGGTAACTAACTCACCTGCATCTCATTGTACAATCCTGGCGTGAAAGCTCGATGCACCGATTCCCAAAACTTGGGTGTGTGCTCTCGATTGTAAATGTGTCCCAGTACGGCTTGTGCCGGTGAGAAAAAGTCATATCCCGCTGTCCACAGCCGTGCGGACAGAATGATTTCCTCTCCCATGAATACCCATGGCAGAAACGGATCATAGGGTACCTCCTTGAGAATCGAAGACTGTGCCACAACATATCCAGCCCCGAGAACGGGAGCAAAGCGAGGCGTGTCCAACTTCCAGATATCCCAAATCTGAATATATACATCGAAGGAGGCAGGAAGATTGTGAGAATACGGAATGACGAGAGATTGCAACGTCGCAGGATGTATGTGACGTACCTGGCTTCCTTCGAGGCGGATCGTGTTGGGCGTGAAGATAGGCCCGCAAATCCTTGAAGCGGGTAATCTTTCAAAAGTCTTGAGGTCGAACTTGTGTGATGGAGGATAGTGGCTGATGACCTGTCACAGAACAACGAGAAAGAGGGTTGGATGGTTGTGAGGTACAGTACGGCATCACTTCATGATGTATATGTAATAGGGGACACCACGACTTACCGGTTTGTTGGAGGGAGCCTTTTGGAGTGAGGAGATGGAGATGGCATCCCAGCTTTGTGCAAAGGTCATGTGTGAATCGATTTGAATGTAGTACTCTTCTCCATACCATATTTTGGAAGCTAGGTATCGTGCCATGTAGGGCCCGAGGCTTTCTGGCTCTTCCATGCGAAGCACTCGCACGCGTCCGGCTTGACAGTGGGGTGCCCCCACGTCGGTTTGACAGAATGTTTCATAGCAGTCTGGATCTGGATCCGTCTTGTGGTACAACCCGTCTTCCTGGAGTCCGGTGCGGCAGTCCTTGTAACAGTTTTGTTGGACCAATCCGACAAACAAGTTGTCGGGGTCCTGTGCTTGCGCATATGCCTGTTCCAGTGTGTTGGTACAGTGCTCGTCTCGATACGAAATGACACTGAGAAAGATGCTCCCATCGGTTCTCCTGGTCGGCATGCGAGTGAGGTACTCTTGGTCCCATGGGTACAGAGTTTGCTCTGTCAAGTTGTGAAAGGCTTCCCAAACACTTTCCACAGCGGCAGGGCGTGGAATGTCCAACAGTTGCTTGTGCAGTTGAGTGATCCATCCCTCCAAGTACTCTACAATCTCGTCCAACGCCAGGGCAGGTTTCTTCTCTGGTACTGGTACTGGTACTGGTGGTTGGCTGTCGGATACGACAAGCGCAGTGACAGCTGAAGTCACTTCTCGCAAGTTTCTTCGGTTGGCCGTAGCTGAAAAGGTCATGGCATCGGTACTAGTAGCAGCACTAGTAGTATCATACCTGTGACAGACCGCCACTCCCACCAACAATACTCCCAACCAGAGCAACAGAATGATCCCCGCCACCACTTGCTGTGGAACCCCAAAGGCTTGACGAGAGCGCTTTCTTCGAACTTGGTGATGAGGAGGAGGAGTTGGAGGAACCATCTTTTCAAGATTATGGTCTACCGGTACTGATGCAGTGCTCGACAAAAGCGAGACAAACCGGTGCCTGCATCGAGCATTCATTTCTGTTCTTCTTCTTCTGTGGGGCGTTGGTTACTCACTGACTGACTGGCTGACTATCTAGCTGGCTCAGATACTAGATCGACGATGGATGGATGATCTAGCGAGCAAAGGTTTATGAGGATATCCTTGTCGAATTTCTGATGGTTTACTATAGGAATCACTGTAGATAAATGCATTACCAGTGACATTCACGCTAGATAAAGCGAACGCTGCAATTCTCAGTAGACGCGTGTCAGCGCGTCATACTGTGCGCTGGTACCGGTACTAGTTAGTTTCTAGCCACATAGTGTGACCATGAACTTGCTGGTACTCCAAGTTTTACGCGACTATGAAGTCGTGGATCTTAGACTGCTTTAATTATTGGTCAGCAGTGGGAAAGGCTTACAGTCATTCACGTACCAGTGAGGAATAATGTCACCTGTAAGGAATAGAATAGATTTAAAGGAATGCCAGAATATTTGACCAGTGAAAGACAGAGGTCACTTGTAAATTTAGCACTCTGAAAGAATGGATTTAAAGAAATGCCAGTGACGTCCCAAAAGGAGGAAAAGCTTTTCTCACCTCATTTTTTGCTGGCAACCACCCTCCTCCAGTGAGCCAAAACGTTTCCTTGACTTTGGATTGGATTCTTTTTTGCTTTCCAGTGATCGAGTGTCACTCTAGATCTTTGTGCTCTCTGCAGCGCCATGGTACAGTACTGGACATGTAGCGCCATCCCAAGGCGTTATGGAGAGGCCATGATTCCACAAAATAGTTGGTAGGTAGAGATACCCAGATACCCCCGCTCGTCATACACAAGACCATGCTGCACCCACGAGGAATCCTCTACAATGGTTTTGTGATGCTATCGTATTGCATGGCCACGTTCAGACTCTTGGAAACTTACTTGGAGCAGCACGTACAACTTGATCCCATGGAACACTCCGTGCCTGCTGCAAGTCTTAGTTTGTCTTCTGCTTCCATTAACTGCTCGCTGCCTGAAAACTCGTTGCATCAAGTGGCTCTGGATATGATTCGTCATTCCAGTCCCAAGGGATCACCATCCTACCAAAAACTGCAACACGTCCTCCACCAGAACCAATATTTCTACATTGATCTCGGACCTCGCATCTTTGGCCAAATTCAAAATTCCATCATTGACATGCTGCGAGGCTATGGCTTGACACGAGTGTATCACTACAATGCCAATGTCACTCTGGTAGAAACCATGTTTACCAAATCAAAGTGTCCCATAGACAACAAACACAACAACTGTGCCAATACCCAACATCAAGCTCGCATTTACATCCAGTCCGAGCAGTACCTCAAGGATCATCTTGGCAGTTGCCATGATTCTCCCCATTGCATTGCCCTCGAATTCAGCGACCACAACTACAAACTCGAACAAGAAAAGGGATGGGGAGATTCGGTTGTCCTCCTACCCGTCATGACACAACAACCCAGTCGATTGATCAAGTATGCGCAGTATCCCCTCCAACCACTTCAAAAAAGAACCACCGATGTTGTCTTTTTTGGACTCATGACAAACCGTCGCAGAATCCTCCAACAACACGCCCGTCGTTACACACAACAACAACGTCCCGGAGCCAATGTGACCATTTCCAAAGTCAATCCCAAAACGGAACAGCAGTACATGGCCAACGCCTACCAGCAAGCCAAGGTTTGCCTCGTGGGGCATTCCTACAGCAACGTGTCGGGAGGAGAGTATCATCGATTGTCCGAGTTTGCACCCTTTGGATGCATTCCCGTCATGGAAACATTTGCCGATGTCATTGGAGTAGATCGATATCAAGCTTGTGGGAAAGTCACGTTTGCTCCCTTGGATCAACTCTTTGACGCAGCAGCGAATATTATTGCAGGTCAGATTGACCGTGGTACGGAATACTATAATTTTGACAACTTTGACCATGTAGCATGGTGGAGGGAGGGGATCCATTGGGGGTCCATCTTGACGACCATGTATGCCGATTAAGGTCGCCAAGAAACTATACTGCGAAATAGAATAGTCAGGGCGGGGACACGGGCTGGATAGATAGGCCCAATCAGCCTGTCGCAAGCTTCTTGCGTAGGTACACGTGCACATCTTAATACATGATAACGTAATAGCTAAAGACGAGCTACAAGTCTGAAGTTTTTCCTCGGCTAGGCCTCAGAAGTGGCCAGGAAATTGGCTGCATGATTATTGATTGTATACCAGAGATCCCAAAGCAGGGAGCTTTTCTCAGAGGTGCTGCTACCTCCACTTTGATTCGATTCAGTATGATGGCTCCTACTAGTAGTAAGACATCTTGTTGGCAGACCACGCTCACTCATGACGATATATCCACTCCCCCGTCTCCCACTTCGTAAATGTCATCTGTATGCTGTTCCTTGGATTTGACCTCCTTGGCAGATTTTCCAAACACTTTGGTGTAGTCTTCTTCGGCGCTGGTTCCTTCGGCGGCATATGTCAGCCGCAGGGCAGTCAAGGAGATGCCTTGGCCTGGTTGGCATTGCAGCGTTCGACAGACCATCACGTACTGATTTTCCGTCATGGCATCGCCACTGGTGGCTTCTTGAAGAGCACCAATCTCTTTGAAATTCAAAAAGCCATCCTTGTCCTTATCAAAATGCTCGTGGAGCGCTTGCACCAAGTGGTCCTTGGTCATGTCCAAGCAGTGCTTGCTGGTAGGTCCGGATGCCATGGCTGTACCGGTACTAGTAGTCTACTGAAGAAGAAGATCAAAAAGGTCAAATGGAAGGTTGTGTCGGCTCGTCGGTTGCAAATTTGGTTCTGGTGTGCTGGTCGCACAGCCGGGCTTCAACAAAAAAATGAGTGGCAGAGCTTTTCTGTTGAAAACACTGAAGAATTAGGTGAAGAACGAATGAATGGTCCACGCTGTGGGCATCGATGCAGTGGAATAATCCTGCAGGCTGGCTAGACACTACCGGTTAAGTACCGTGCAAACTCTCTACTCTAGCTCCTTGAAAATCCTTGTTGATGTTCTCGACCTCCGAATTAGTCTAAGTGTGGGTAGCTTTCAGCACCACCGGTACTGGTACCTGTTTCCTGGTAGGTAGGTAGTAAATCCATGGTATGGTTATGGGAGCGAACTTAGCTACGGTAGCTAGCTAGATAGCTGGCCGGCTGCAGGACGGGCACCATGCACCATGCATCATGCATGGCTGTGGGCATATTAATTATTCATGGAAGGATATGTTGGGAGTGGAGAGCAGGTGTCAATGTGTGGATCATGATCCTAGGTGGCAATAGCTAGTTAGCTTTTCTATCATACGTATATTGCTAGCTAAAAAGGAACTTTTGCTTCCAGCGTCATTCGTTTTTCGGTGGTGGGGTGTGTCATTTCCAAAAAGCCTGCATGAAGACACATCCGTTCATCCCTTTGTCCATAGATATCGTCGCCCACAATGGGCATGTTGAGGCCCAAGGCATGAGCCGCATGCACTCGAAGTTGATGCGTTCTTCCCGTGACGGGGTAAAAGTGGATACGGGTCCGTCCGTCTTGGACGTCGAGGACCTCGTAGAACGTGACGGCAGGCTTCCCCGTCTTTTTATTGTAGTCTACCTTGTGCATGGGCCGGTTCAGGTAGTCGAGACTCAGAGGAAGGTCAATCTTTCCCTTGCGTGTGTTGTCGTTATCATTGTCGTCGACGAGTAGTTCTCCCTCCAACAAGGCCGTGTAACGCTTTTTGATGGATCGATCAATAAACTGCGATTGAATCTTTTTATGTGTGTCCTTGTCCTTGGCAATGACCAGTATCCCACTGGTGGACATGTCGAGACGGTGTACGAGTAAGGGTCCCGTGGCGTTGGGATATCGTTGTTGGATGATGGAATATACCGACTCGTGGACGAGGCGTCCCGGCACGGACAGCATTTCCGGCGGTTTATTGACGACTAGCATGACATCATCTTCGTACAATATTTCCAAGTCTTTTTCGTTGGTGTTGTGTGATGGCTGTTCCAGTGGATTATCCTCGACATGGCATCCCTGTAGCATGTGCTCCAGAATGGGCTGACACTTGCCCCGACAAGCAGGATAGTAAAAGTTGTGTTTTCGAATCTCGAGCGCTGGGGACTTGCCCCACCAGAATTCCGCCAAGGCAATGGGCCGATATCCTTTCTTGTAGGCATACTGAAAGAGTTTGGGCGCCGCACAATCGCCAGCTCCTCCCGGGGGTCGTAGCAAGGGCGTTTTGGCAAAAATGTCCAATACTGATTGGGTGTCCCCGTGTCGATTGAGGAATTGGTAGCGGTCAAAGAGTTGATTCTGTAACTGGGCGGACGTGTTTTTGCGCCGTTGTTTCAAGTCTTGTATCCGATCTTCAATTTCCTGAAGAGATTGTTGTGCCTGTTCGAGCTCTGCTTTCCACATTGTTTTGAGGGCTTTTTCGGAGAGTTGAATCTTGGCTCCATCTTGCAACAACTGTTCTTCGTGAGCTTGGTATTGTTGGGGTGTGCATGTCTTTTTGAGTTTTTGGCGTTGCCGTTGTCGTGCTCGTTTTTGCGACTTTCCATGTTGTCTAGCTTCTTCCAGTTGTTGTTGTGCTTGTTGTTGGAGGGCAGCCGCCTGTTTCTTGCGTTCCCTTCGTTCGGGCGATTGTTCTAGTTCTTCCACTTGTCGGTTCATGGCGTTCAATGCTTCTTCTCCCTGTTTATAAAAGCTTTCGATGTCAAACCGATCGTAGATCATGGGACAAAATCCTGGGGGAGTGCCGTCATCCGTGTTCTGTAGTGTCCCCGAAAAGGCCTTGAGATACCCCAGCTTTCCATGCTCACTTTCATTGTCATCATCGACCACGACAACAAGCACGCCAAACATTTTCCCTACTGCATTTTTGTCGGATGAGGCATTTGTTGTGTTTGTGTTCAAACCAAAGTCATGCTTGCTCCAATGCGATGTTGGATCTTGCAGCTCTGCTCGGAGCTCATTGGCGGCAAAGACGGCGACGGGATGAGGTTGGTACCAGTGAGGATACGCCAATCGATCCGGCAACTCTCCAGAGTAGTCTGTGGGTGAAATCTCGGTAAACAGGGGGTCAGCATCAGCATGGCCACTTGTGTCAGTACCGGTATCCATGGTGGCACTACCGGTATATAAGTGATGGAGATCTCGAGACGATCCAGCCAAGGATGGCGAAAACGTGGAACATTCAGGCAACCCAGTCAGTGACAAGATCACCAGGAAGAGACACTCTATCCGATACTGATAGCAACAACTAAAGCTGTAATAATGACAAGACAGAAGCCTCATCGTTGTTCATGCATGGATCTTCAATTGTTCCAAAACACATTCAGGATCCCTCGATCGTTTGTGCTGCTGGATTTGCATTGGATGGATGGACGGATGGATGGATGGATGGATGGATGCGAACGAGAGAAAGTGGTACTGTAACACTTCGGAGCATTAAGGGATGAACGAATGAATTTGCTTTTTCTAACCAAAGTTGTCGAGGACCGCGCAGGAAGGATTTGGATAGCTATTTGGATTTTGTTTGCGCAGCTTTCTGGCCTGCTGCAGCTGCATGGCCAAAGCAAAATCACAACACCACAACCACAACCGCAGCGGCAGCCACTGCAGTATTTAGCCGCACACACCATGAATGCTGCTGCCTGATGGCAGCAATGCTAACAACAATAACAATAGCAATAAGAAACAGAAGCTGTCTCCTCCTATCGAGTCTCTTCTGTTTGCCAATGATGAGATTTGGATCCAAGTCGTTCTACCTCTTGTTGGTGTTGGTCAGTATGCCTTTGTAGGAGCTGTCAACAAAAAGATGAATCAGCTGTACAAAGAGTACTAGTACCATGGGATGAAAAGACATGTGGTGAAGCTGCTAAAAATGGACATTTGGATATGCTGAGGTGGGCTCGTGAAAATGGATGCCCTTGGGACTTGAGATGAAGATACATGTGAGGCGGCTGCAAAAGGTGGGCATTTGGAAATTCTGAAGTCGGCTCGTGCAAATGGGTGTCCATGGAATGATTATACATGCGAGGGTGCTGCTGTAGGTGGACATTTGGATATTTTGAGGTGGGCTCGTGAAAATGGATGCCCTTGGGATAGAGACGCATGTGAGATGGCTGGAAAAGGTGGGCATTTGGAAGTTTTAGAGTGGTTGCATGCAAACGCTTGTCCGTGGGATGAAGGGACATGTGCCAGGTCTGCTGAAGGTGGACATTTGAATATTTTGAAATGGGCTCATTCAAATGGGTGCCCATGGGATGCGTGGGTGTGTTCCTTTGCCACTCATAATGGTCATTTGGAAATTTTGAAGTGGGCTCGTGAAAATGGCTGTCCATGGAATGAGCGGGCATGTACAGCTGCCAGAAGAAGCTACAAAAGCAACAAAACCGAAGTGATTCAGTGGCTACGTGACAATGGCTGCCCTGGGTCTCATGATGAAGGACACTAATATAGCAACATCATTTTATTTTATGGTCTGCTGTATCCTATTAACAAAGCATCGTGGCTGGATTCATCACGCATTTTAACATTGGATTCTCCTTATCAAATCGAAGGGCTACCGGTATGCTGTGCCCTGGCTTGGTGCTTGCTACTAGTAACAGGCATGAACTACCGACAAGATGAACTTCCCGCTTGGTTGCACACCAGATACATGGAGACTGGGTACCGTGCCAGAATGCATCAAGACCAGATTTTCGTTGCACAAGAATGAAGTGGTAGCCATCTGGTCTCACCTGCTTCCTGCTCTGGTTTTGGTGGATTGACAGCTTCTTTTCTCTGTTCCAATTATCGATTCCGTGCATTGTTTCCTTGCTCAGACGGGCTTCTCCTTTACACTGGTGTTCTCAGCGTCCGCGTTGATGCACACTTTCAACCCCCTTGATGAAGAGTGGCACTTGTGGACTCTTGGACTCGACTGGGGAGCTATTGCAAATGGCTGTTCTTCGTTTCTGCTAAATACGACGAGGCAACCGTCCACACCGTGTCAAAGCTATACCTTTGTCACGTTGAAGGAGCCCGACTTGCCGCGCGAAGTTCATGTATGTATGTAACGTATCTCTTAAAATTATATGTAGACTCCTTCCTTGCCAGCCTGACGAACCGGTCAATGCTGAACATATCCTCCATGCTCTCGACTCCAATGTTTGAATGTCTTGTTGTCGCGAGAGGGAGGGATAAACGTGAACTCGAAAAGAGAAGTCGGTGGCGACATCATGAATGCATGCATCATGATCAAGCAGCACAAGAACTGCCCTGGGCCACAGCCGCAGCGCAAACTTGAGATGCTCGAGAGGAGAGATCGGCGCTCTGGAAAGAAACGCTTTCTCCATAGGGACCCGAGCGATCCATGCTGGTTTTGCCGTTGGACGTGGTTCCCTTGTATCCATCCTTCTGCAACGGAAGCATCCTCATGACAACGTGCTGATCCCCAGACTTGGAGACGTCAACAAACCCGGCGTGCTGAGCACATGCACAGGCATCGGAGCTATCGTGGTAAACGTTCTCGCTACCGTAACAATGATGCGATGACACTGCGTTGGCAACGTTGCAGCTTATTTGCATTACGTCGAACAGCTGGGGGAAAGTTCGTGAGGATGGCAATCAAGGTCGCGCGGCAAACATCCCCAGCACTGCTTACCTGCATGTCAGCCATCAAGCTGCTTGCTATGTTGCCGTTGCCGGCAGCTGGGTTCTTCATCCGAGCAAAGAATAGGGGGTCAAAGTGTATTTCAAGCGCATTGGCAACCTCCAAAGCACCACAGCGTCCTCCATTCTTCATCTCGAGGGCCTATTTAGACGAGGCACAAAACATGTTCAGTTGTGTTTCTCTTGCGGATGCATGCAGCTCTGGAGCTACAGCCCTACCTTGTCCTTGTGAAAGAATGAATAGCCATTGCCAGGGAAGCCACCAACCGGCCAGGTATGGTCCTCACATGTTACGGTTTCGGGGATCAATTTGAACGCTACGCATCAAGAAAACCAAACAGAGGATAGTGAGCCGGGTTCGACTCGTCAGTTGACAGACAGATGTGCATGCTTACGCGTTCCACGAAGATCAAGGATCGAACGGGCAAGCACGCTCGTGTCAAAGTCACACCGGTTGCATTGCCCTGGGAGAACAGGAAACAGAAATGTGAGCAGCATGCTGCATCACAAGAAAGCAAGAGCAGCAGTTATCGTTTTTACCTGGCGGCATAAAGCGTTCAAAGTTGGCCGTGGGCTTCATCTCCTTCCGAATCTCCTTGTTAATTCTGGTTGTCTCGGCAAAGGCTGCATATGAGGGGTTTTGATCCACTCTGGCTCCCATCCATCCATACCATTCCCATGAGGTCGCAATTTTCATCTTCTTTTCAGTTTCCAAAGCGCCTTGATCCATCTCGTAAGCAACGTACGAAGTCCTCCAACCAGGCCTGGGAGATGCAGGAAAAGGATCTGTGAACGGCGTCCTTATAATGGTGTGGTGCTGTGCGTATGTGCAGAAATGCTTACCATGGGTATGCGACGTCGCCACTGCCTTTCTTAGGCTCGGCTGCATCAGGACGCTCTCCACCCTCTGAGTAGTTCTCGATCAAGGCATGCTGACTGACAGGAAGGTAGGTTTTTCCGTTCTTGCAATGGACAGTGACAGGGAGCCAAGTGTTGCACCCAGCTCCGTCCGGGTCAATCAGAGTCAATCCATCAGGAATTCCTTTGCAATTGGTTGGAATTTGCTCGCACTGAGACTCTAAATATGCACCCTCTGTCCATTTGGGATTGGTCCAGGGTCTTTCGCAAGGACATTGCTTTGCTACAGTTTGCCCGACTTCATCTTGATAGAAGCCAGTGGGAACCGGAATGCACCTGACACTGCCAGCTGGACGGTAGGTCCCTGCTTTGCATTTTTTAATTGTACCTGGAAAGTACACGAGCACGACGACGTTTGGGTATCCTTCGGGGTTAGACAAACCCCTTGCTTTTCCAGTTAAGAACGGGTTCCTATACATACCTTGGGGCTCTGCCCACCGCACAGCGCAATCCTCCCAGTGCAACGGTGGAGCACGGTTCACGTAGCACCAAGCACCTGCAAACAGATGCATTGAGTGGTGAGCGTCACTGTTGTGGCGAAGGGCGCAGCTTTTCCAGACGCGGGGTGGTCATACTCACGAGGTTCGTTGCCACTGGGGTTCCTACAGTAGGCACCGTCGCCTTCGTGTTTCGAGAGCATTAGAGCGAGACATTAGTCAGAGAGCCACAATCAAAAGAAGTAGTCAGTGAGTACCCACGAAACAACCACAGAAACAAGACGACAACGCTGACAAAAGGCGCTTCCATTGTTGAGCTCGCCCACTTACTTAGCCCTAACAAGGGTAGCCAGGTTGATCAGCGACGAAGGGGGGCAGAAGCAGAAAAGCAGGATGGAATCAATTGAGCAGGGCAGTCAATGAAGGCAAAATCATGGTTTCTGGTGAACACATGCGTTCAGGCTTCGCTTACCGTCAAAGGGTCTCGTCTTGGGGTTGTTGAAATGATGATCCCGCCAATCTTTGCAGGGCAACCCACTCTTGGTTACGTTTTTGGTACCTCTGTAGCCATGCTGAACATTGCCACTATCTCCTTGCGGAAGAATGACTGCCTCATGTCCTGCGGGGACAGGTTTGCATTGTGATTCTTCATTTCGGTGCCTGTAATAGCCAGCACGGCATGGCCTGCATCGCCCTCCGTCTGGGTAGGTATTATGGGGGCATGGAACGCACTCCCCGGCAAGAGTGTCAGCAATTTCATGCGCCTTGCAAGGCTTACAAGAATCGATGCTTTTTTGTCCTGGTAACTTTCCAATCTTTCCTTGGGGGCACACAAGACACCGTCCCATTCCTTCGGCAGGAGAATAGTGATTCTTTGGACACGCTGTGCACGACGTTGCCCCGTCCCTTGAATAAGTACCTGGTTTGCAAAGTAGACATGATTCTTCATCCATGCGGCCTCTGAAGGTGCCAGGTTTGCAACGTGAACATTCGGGGTACGTCACGTCGCTTCCGGTGAAATGTGAGAACGCAGAGATAGAGGCAACATCCATGATGAAATCGGCCTTCCTGAAACGTACCAATACTCCCAACCACCTTCCTCTTTGTAGCACCAAGCACCCCCAGGTTCCTTGTCATGGTTCCTACAGTAGTTGTGGTTGCCCAAACCTAAATCAGAATAGTAGTGATGATACTTTTCAACAGTTGGGTCTATGGAGTCCATCCAGTTTCTGCACCTCTTGCCACTTCTTGTCTTCGAGACGGTTCCGCGGTATGAATGCTGAAGCGGGTCCCAGTTCACATCACTTTCAATGAAAAGACAAGGTTACAAATAACGCCAAAAGTCGACCAGAATGTTGAGTTGTGGCACATCGCTGATCACTGCCACGATTCTTCATGCTCGATCACATCATGACAGCTTACCAGTACTCCCAGGAAGCACCTGGCACATAGCACCAAGGACCACCCATCTCAAGGTCGGGATTTCTGCAGTAATTGCGCTCTGCCGCAAAGCATGACGAAATGATAGACACGGAAGGCATCAGATAACATTTGACTTCGAAGAGCAACGCGGTTTCGCATCCGTCATGAAACTCACCCAATCCCGCCTTAGGATTGTTTGTGGGGTTTACGTTTAGTCCAGGAGTGTCCCAATCTAAGCACGTTTTGCCGCTTCTTGTAGTTGAAACGGTGCCTCTGTACTCCCGTGAGTACCTTGCTTTAGTGAAGTCGGGTGCATGGCCAATCGGGCACGCGCATGTCCAAATGAGTCTCACTGCTTCAACGCTTGGGACAGCAGCGGAGGGCAAAACCTGATTGTTTACCAAGGAATCAAAGGAGATCCGTGGCGACGTCTGGTGAGCTTTTGTCAGGATGTCCCCTGGCAGCAGTTTCTTGGCAGCTTTCAGTACATCAAAGAGTGCCAAACCCTTGCCCACGTGAGCCTGGGATGCAGGAAAACGATCAGTGAGCTACATGCTCACATGATGGGACAGACACTTCCCTTACCTTACCTGTCGGAGAACGACTCCACGAGGGGCAGTGCAAAACATCTGATTCCCAGAATGATAACCCTTCGCTGGAGTATTTTGATCACGTTTCGTTGTTGACCACAGGTAGGCAACGGACTCTGTGTCTGCAGGCGGGGGCGCTACACATGCCCATCTCATTCCATTTACCAAGCAATCCGACAGATCACATTTTTTGTGTGGACTGTCTTTGCATGTTCGCCATTGCTCTCGGCAACTGGTCTCAAGTGTGGCTTTCTTCCCCTTCCATTGGTTGTATCCGTCGGTCCTGGCAGCTTCATACTCGGCATGGGCTTCAGGAGAGGCATACTTGAACTCCTGCAATGGGTTTGTTTCGGCCTTCATGGCACAGTACGTTAGGAACTTCTGGTACCATGAGTACTCCCTCGTGTAGGTATACCCCCCATCATGAAATTTTCCCAAGTCGATACCGTCCTTCGTAGTGAATTGATAGCAGGGGTCTGTCTTGCTATCGTCGACGTGCTCGATATAGACTTTTCTTCCAAAGTTGCATTCAGGAAAGCCACTGCTGCGATGCGTGTCGTCGATTGAGTATTGACCGGTCCCGGGACTTTGGTTACGTCATTGCGAGAGGTCGGGAGCGAAAGATAGTTGAGCGCATCAGATCTGTGTGCACGAATCCAGTCAAATGCTTCATGAGAACACTTACCCACACCAATCATGGATTTCAAACGAATATATTTCATCATTATCCCACCACGACTTGTGGGAATATTTCTGCAGGAGATACGTTAGATGGAAAGAGCAAGAAACCAAGATGGTGGCTGATCATGTAACGAGCTTACCCAATATTCCTCGTGTCCCGGTGACCAGAGCCAGCCCGACTGCTCAGAGTTCACTTTGATATCGCTGCAATAGAACAGAAACATTGCCTGATGAGCGTTGCTGCCACGAAAATACAAGAGGGGCATTCCCTTGTTGATACTCGAGTACACAAACGTACCACCAACCTGGTCCAATGGTACCTGAAGTGATTTCGTTCCACCACCATTCTGGATGATTTATGTCTCCATTCCAACTGTACCAGAGCTGATGCTTGCCCCAAATGCAGCTTCCTGTTCAGGCAACGATGAAGAAAACAAACGTTGTCAGATACAACCGCCATGAAAGCCAAAATGCATTGCCATTGGGTCTTCCGCGTCTTCTACGAATGGAGTGGATCTTGCAAAGTGGAACGATAGACAGCAGACCATACCTGCTGGAGAACTCGATTCCCAACAAGATATTTTGCCTTTCGTCGATGTGGAAGAAGTGGAAGAATGCTGGTGCCAGTTTACTCCATGACAGTGCTCACATGTACCCAAAACCCGATTCCGATTGGCTTCATGGGTCGTTGTAGAAAGCAAGTCCATGTTCTCCCATTCTGTTAGAGAAACGCAGATATAGCTAGCTTGGAACCGTCCTGGTTCTGCTGTCATTTCGGTACTGAAACTGGCAAGTTTGGCACCACTGCACTGCTTGATTTTGTAAAAATTGTTCTGGCACGTACTTCTATCCTCATCCCCGTCAATAGAACAAGGGAATCGGAGTTGACCTGCGATCAAGAGATTTGAGATTCCCAGTGAGATCATTCTAACCGGTTGATGGGCAAATGAAGCAATCTACGCATTGTCTACCTGTGAGATCAACAGCACAGTCTTGCCATTGGTACCAGGCATTGATGACGATTGGAAACTTGTTGCCCGAGCATTGGTTAAAGTTGGCGACGAATTGGGCCTCCTCGATCGTCGGCCTTGATGTAGGCTGTCGACCAGTGGACATATCTGTGGTGTTATAAATGGGGAACGAAGTGAGAGACTTGAGTCGCTTTGCACATCCATGTGCAATCGTCTCATCTGATACATACCGACACAGAGGAAAGCCAAGGTTGGAATAGTCAATATCAACAAACCAATCTGTGTAGGGGTGTAGGCTTTCAATGTGTCTCGTCATGGTCTGCTCCAGATCGTAGCAAGCCTTGATCATCAAACCAAAGTCGTCCAATGTTTTTTGGGCTGTTGGCATGAACTTATCAAAGGCAGCCCTCACCACATTTGGCTTGCAAAACTCCGCTTTAAAACCACTGGGCAACTCATTACCTCCCTTTGGTGGATCCAAAGCATTGTTAAGGTCATTCATTGCCTGACCCGCCGTGCAGACTCCGTTTGCAAGATTGGAAAGTATGTATATGAGTGGAATGGTCTTTTCTCGCATGAGCAAAATGAGGTCCACAATCTCCTCGGCCTTTTCCATTGTGACTCCTGCGCCCTTGCACTTTTTCTCCAAGGCAAGTCTCTGGTCCTTGATCTTCTGTTCAACTTTGCCCGCAAACTTTTCGATCGGTACGGCCAGCTTTTCTCCCCATTTGAAACTAAAGCTCCTGGCAAACTTCTTTACCTTCCCCGTTGAATCTTCGAGGTTGTCCATGACATGTTCTGCATCATAGACGTACTTCCACGCGGATATCGTAGCGGGATTTTCCTGTTCGGCAGATCACAGTGAAGTTGTTGAGCAAACTAGTTTCAGTGACATGCAACTGGAACCGCGTGGCTGGTGATACCAGTACCAGTACTTACTCGACCAAAAATGTCATCCCAAGTTGTCTCTGCCTCGCCTTGCTTGGAGCAAATCAAAGAGAGAACCTGTGATGGAGATATGCGAAAAACCAACCCGACTTGGGTTAGTAATGAACCTTTTTTTGATGTCGCGAAGGGACGATGCATCCTCAAATGACATCGGAAATGATCTTACCTGCTTCGTCACAACGAGCTCGCCTTGGTACCATTTTTGAGAAGAGAGCAATCTCATGAGGAACCTATGCTGATCTTATCGAAGGTGTCGTCTACCGACGTCACAACTGGGAAAAGCCCCTGATTTTTACCATGGTCATTCTTCAAAAGGTCCCTCATGTTCGCCGGAACCGCGACATCAAACCACTGCTGACTCGGCGTCTTGATCAATGGGACAGTGGTCTTTATGAATCACTTGTTACCGAATGTCACAAAGCCATGGAGTCTTTCCTCTCCGATCGCCGTGGCTCCAGCACACGAGAACAACGAGCCCGCCGCTTTCAGCATCTCATGCTTCAAGGTGAGGTGCGCCGAGCTGTCCGCTTTATCACTGCACGTGAACAATTCGGCGTGCTGCTCCCCACAGCTCACACTGATGACGGCAAGGGAAACGATGCGGTCTGTCTTGGACATTCTCAAATCCAAGCATCCCTCTCCAACCCCCATTAATTTAGCCCAGCTTCCCAAATTCGATGCTCCCCCACCAGCCTTTGTAGATCTTCAAATTACCCCTGAAATTACTGAACAGGTTGCTGGCAAACTATCCGGTGCTTGTGGCCTAGGCGGCACCGATGGTCCAACTCTCAAAAATTGGCTCCTTCGCTATCGACGAGCTAGTACCCAACTTCGAGCTGCGTTTGGTCTCTTTGCTCAATGGCAAGCCAACAACTTGGTTCCTTGGGCCGCCATCCGCGCTCTCAATGCCAATCGCGGCATGGCTCTCGATAAATTTCCCGGTGTACGCCCCATAGGTATTGGTAACATTGAACGACGCTACATTGCCAAATGTGTCCTCGCTGTTGCTGGCCCCGCTGCGGCTGCAGCTTTCCGTTGGTTTGAAAGCAGGCATTGAAGGTGCCGTCCACACGGCAAATCATGTTTGGGATCATCACCTTGGCTCATCTGACAGTCTCGACTCTGATTTCGGCTTCCTTATTATAGATGCCTCTAATGCCTTCAACGAATTGAATCGAACTGCCATGCTTTACACAGTTCGCCATCTTTGGCCCGAAGGCGCCCGCTTTACCTTCAACAGTTACAAACATTGGTCCCTTGTTATTTTTCACGACTCCACCGCTGGAACAGCTCACATTATCCTCAGCGCTGTTGGAGTCGTGCAAGGTGATCCTTTAGCATGTACTGCTACGGTTTAGCCTTAGTTCCTCTCATTAAACGGCTTCACCATGAGTTCCCTCACCTTCTGCATCTCTGGTATGCCGATGATGCCAATGCTGCCGGCAAATTTACTGATTTACAATTGCTTCTAGACCTCTTATTCGGCTAGGCAAACCATTCGGCTACTTTGTTCAGCGCAATAAATGCAAAATTATTACTCACAGTGCCAATTTTCACACAGCCACCACTCAGTTTACGCGTACCCGCGGCTCTCAACTCAAAGTCCCAATGGTGCCAGATTTCTCGGTGTCATATCGGCGAACCTGAAGCCTTTCCTCCTGGGTTGATTCCAAAATCACAACTTGGACGGCCTGCATTCAATCTCTTTGTGAAGTGGCTCAGTTCTACCCCCAGTCGGCTTATATTGCCTGCCAAAAGTCTCTCCAAATGGAATGGCAATTTGTGCAACGTGTCTGTCGTGTCCCCTCGGACTCTTGGCTTCCCTTGGAAAATGCTCTGGATTTTGAGCTTCTCCCCGCTCTATGGAACCTTCATTCAAGCGAACTGCCCCCCGAGCTCTCACTTCCCTCCCAAACAAGTTTGCCGGCCTTTCTCTCCCCAACCCCATTACGGAAGCCCCCCTCCGCTACATTGCCAGTCGCGAAATTACTTCGGAAATTACCCGCTCCCTTCTTGCCCCCTTGCCCTTAATTCCCATCCCCCCTAGCCCTCTCCACGACCCTGCCACCCCTTCATTGAGCCCCCACGTCATCCCTTCAGAATTGAAGACCATCGCACAGCCCTCACAGAAGGTCGTATCAGCGCCACCAAACGCCATCACGACGCCTACCAAGCGGCTTTCGAGACCCATCAAGCCACTCTCACTCCGGCTGAGCAGTCCCGCCTCAATCGCAGTCGTTGCACTGGCTCCTGGCTTGCATCATGCCCAATATTGCCAAACGCACTCACCTCTCTCTCAAGAATGGCGTGATGCTCTTTTTCTCCGGTTCGGTCTTACCCCCCCAGCTCTTCCAGCACTTTGTGATGGCTGTACTGGTCCCTTGCGTTCCACATGCTCTGGTTGCAAACGCGGCGGCTTAATCATCCGTCGCCATAATGAAATCCGCAATGAACTGTGTTCTATTGCATGTGAATGCTTTGGTTCCTCTAGCGTCCAGTCAGAACCACCCTTCCTCTGTTCCCCCCCCTACTATCCCTGCCGGTCACCCAATTTCTACCTTACCTCCCCTTCCTCCCCCCCTCTCAATCCCCCTCCAGCCCCCGAGCTCTTACGTGGTGATCTTTCTATTCGCGGCTTGTTTGAACGAGGTACTACAGCTATTATTGACGTACGTGTACTGATTTGGACTGTGCCTCTTACCGCAACAAAGATCCCGTCAAAGTTTTAACCCAACAAGACGCGACAAAATTTCCAAATATAAAACGCGGCGAGTCCAATCGCGCTCCTTCCACCCCTTTGTTGTTTCAGTGGATGGATGCTTGCCCCCAAGCCAGACTCTCTTACAACGCCTTGCTTCTGCTACTGCCTCCAAAACTCAATTTTCCTACTCTCAAATGATGTTCTTCATGCAGACCCGTATCTCAATTGCCCTTGTGAAAGCTACCCATTTATGTCTCCGTGGATCCCGCAAAGCCAAACCTTTGCCCCCGTAATGGTCCTCAATTTCTTGCCCCTGATCCCTCAGAACCTAGTCCTGAATTTCGACTGTTCTTTGCTTAAGCCTGGCCCCGGCTGGCTTCCGTAGATAATTTCCCTACTCTAAACCCCCTTATATATCATATATGAGAACAAGATTCTGCATGGCCAAGCGAGCTCAAATGTGAATCTTTTTGGATCGATGATAAGCCGGCTAAGCATATTAAAACTCAATGACCCCCTCTAGAGATCCAACTAACACACATCTCAACGCAAAGCAACCATGCACACACACAGTCTCACCATTCAAAATCTGTTCTTTGGTTTCATCATCGTGATGACTCTCAGGAATAATGCGGACGAATCTATCTTCGATATCCTTGAGTGCATCAATGAATGCAAGCAAGGAAGAATGGAAGCCCATCATGCGCCTCACAATGGCGGACCAGTCTCCGTCTCCGCCCGTGATAATCTGTCCCCATTCTACATGTATCACAAGGTACATGAAGGTTTCATACTAATGAATGAGACATCTGGAGACCAAGCGAAACATACACACACCTGTGCATAGTCCTCTTACCACAATCGCGCACAAAGACGTGCTCGAATTCAAAGTTAACGTTGTCCTTGGCAATCTCGATAGCGATGTCAGCCGCATACTGACGATATTCGCCCAATCCTGCCTTAGCCTTGGCCTCAGCTGCACGTCGATGGCGTTCATCTACGTGGTAGGCACTCGTCTCGCCTTCTCCACTTTCGTCTTCATCGCTAACTCCAAAGATTCCTTCAATGTACTTCATTGCATGAGAGAAGTTGCCGCGAAGGTTGTCCATGGCCTCCACAAAAGAAGACTCGGTGATATCCTCTCCCATCTCTGTCTTGGATCCACTTTGGAGTCGTCGTGCACCCTTGTCGTCACTCTCGTCCTCCTCCATCTCGAGATCATTCATCCACTGAGGAACGTCGCCACGAACCCAGGTGAATCCATCCTCGTTCTCCTTTGAGATCACTGGTGATCCCTCCTCGACCGTTCCAACGCCGTTCAAGATCTCGGCCGTCACCAACACGGTCTCTTGGACGCGCAATAGAATCGCGGTGGCTGCCACCGACCAAACAAAGATCTTCATCGTTGCTCGCTTCAACTACTTTTTTTCTTTGTCTTGTTGTTGCTTTGTTTAGTAAAACTATGGTGTCTGACGCAATGCTATCAAACACTCGAATGCTTTCTTGGTATTGCCACAAGCTTTTGCAAGTTACAATATTGTGTGCTCAACCAACACAACCTTTTCGGACTTGATCAACCAACAGTACCTCAATAACCAACAACTACAAATGCCAAGTGCTTCGTTTTTGTGTGTGTGAAGATCACAAGGTCCCTCAGTAAACACTTGAAACCCGTAATGTCGCATGGACATTGCAAGGGCATTAGCCAAAACTTGTAGGTCCTTCTGTGCTTTTCTACCAAAGCCACTTAGCATCAAATAGAACATGCACACCTGCTCCTCGGTATACCGGCTCGTCGCTCACACATCGTAGCAGCTACCGGTACACCCGTACCGTACCTAGCAAGCTTGTACTGTACCTGATTTCGGTACCGGTACCAGAACAGCGATGGCAGATCTATGACATAACTTCTTCACAAGTCTTCAATTCCCACTTCAAACTCATGTCTCAACCACAGGCAACATACAATAAATAAATCATACGTATGTATTTAGTACTTATTTTTCCTATTAGCAGCGGGAGCTTTGTAAGAACTTGAAACCCGCTAACGCCATAATGCCAGAGCTACATGCTACATGTACATGGATGCCATGCACCTTGCTACACTGTACTTGCTACATACATGTACATGTACAGAACAAACAGCATGTCCTCAATGACGGTGACCAACTCGGTCACATTTCGGTCCACCCGATTTGTCCTTTTTCTTGCTACTCCGGCCCTGTTGGTCCACCCTGGCCCGCCCCAAAGACCATACAATACATGTAGTAGCCAGCTTTTACTGCGTGCAACTTGTCGAAGCAACAAAAAGGAATTTTGGCTTTTCTGCTGTCATTCTTCATTCCATGTACCGGTAGCTAGTGTAGCTTTGAACATTTAAAACTCAGACGTGAAAGGCCAAGATGGAGACTTTTCAGTCCACCGTCAAGAACTGGGTTTGGGGCCTACTACTAGCTGTGTGGTACGGTTGATACGAACCAATCAAGTCAACTAACTATTCAAATGAGAAGATAGAGTCCCACTCTGAGAAGTATTTCGAACGAGACCGTCTCCGGCTCACATGAGAAGATGCTGCTTTCGATCGGCTATCTGAACGCTGAGTATGGGAGTCAAATACTAGTAGCTTCTACACTGGCTGAACAAACCCAGAGGGATCTAGGATCCATCTTTTGCACCAGTCTTTTTGCCGCTAATTTGGTTATACCTCGCAGTTGTACCAGTGCCGTACTAGTTAGTAAAAGTGCTAGTAGTGTACCACCGCAGCCAGGCATGTTTCAGACGCCGTGACTCTACATGTACTAGTGAGCACCACTTCGACTTCACGGAGAGCTGTCTTTGGACTCATACCGGTAGGAGTCTCAGCAGCTCAACAGAAGTGTTGACAGAAGACTATCACGAGACGAGTCCCAGACTGTCTGTCAGAGGTCGCACAGCTCTTTTCGTAGCAGACTGACATTACCGGCTGAATCTGCCGAAAAAAGCGCTGTTGCGGAAGAAGTTCGAAAGGTTTCACACAGTTGCAGACGGTACAACAATAAGGCTGGAGAGAGTCCGGCGGGAAGCTGCATTTCGTGCACCGGTATCGATAGTGCAAGATATGGTACGCTACCTGTATCAGGGCTCGCTCGATAGCCCAGGAAACACTGACGACCGACAGTACTTGCTAGTAGTCCTACTTGAGTGCTGGTTTCAACCGAAGACAACATGGAAAGACGACACTGTCAGACCACCGTAAAGAAAGCCTTGCAAGGTAGGACGAACCACACAAACCCGATGCAATCCATTTCTCTTCCGACTCTACAGATACTTCCGCATATTTTCTCTCTTTTGTTCGAGTTTAGGACCGGATACCGGTACATGGACCAAGACGATGCAAACTCTCCCAACCAAAGCGTTTAAATCTTTTCTACCAAATTCTGCCTGCATCAATCGCGGTACCACCACTTAGCTGAAGAAAATAGAATAGGCAAAGCTTAGTTTTTAGTTGGACCAGGGCAAGGGCAGTCAGCAATCTAAACGTCGGAATGTACGGACGTACCTGATCAGGTCTCATGTAGTCTGATGCAGCCACAATGTAATGTGCCGTGTATTGGAAGTATTGATAGAGTGCATCCTTGGCTTGTTGGTCGTCCTTGAGATGAGAATGTTCTTCGATGGCAGCTTTCATGTGCTTCACCCAATGATCTGCCGCGCGATGGCCAATACCATAATTTGCATGTCGTCCCACTAATCGAGTGTATTTGCCCTTTTTCTGGCGGTACAGGTCGGGTCCTCCAAAGGTTTGGGCAAAAAATAGATACTGATTCTCAATGGCTTCTTCTTTGGTGCTGCTGGAAAAAATGTTGAGAAACCATACTGCATCGGAATCATCGAATACTCGATTGTAAAACAGCCGTGATAGTTCTTGGCAGCCATCCACTTGACCCATTCGTTCGAACATGGTCGGCACCATTTGAGTGGCTTGCAGGGATTCTTCATAGCTGACGCCACCAGCCTTGAGAGCGCGTTCTTGCAGTTCCTGTTTGCTCATTCTCTATATGACATCTTGCAAAGTCGCCAACTGCGGAGTTGGCCTGTTGCAAATTTTAGTTTTGGTGGCGGTACCGAACCAGGTACTAGCTAGTACTCTAGTAGGTAGCTGGACGTGGTGGTGTGTCCTCACTCACTTTTCGTCTTCATTCTATAGGGTTACAGGTTAGGCTTCATTTTACCGGTAGGGTTAAAGGTTACAGTCGTACGACCGATTTGTCATGTTTACTATAGCAAATACAGTACTATACTACCTCTGTAGCGTGTGGTACAAATCCTACACCGCGAGGACACACATACCACACGCTCCGTACCTACCGTGTGGTACAAAATCTACATGAACTACGACTGACGTCAGCGCACGAATCGCAGCAAACCATTTTTAAGGATGTCCCACGGGGGATACTGTGTTCCTTGGTTTTAAGAAAGGCAATAACACGAGAATAGCACGAAAACAACAACAAAACCTCCATCATCCTAATGCTCCCAGCTTGCATCGCCAAATAGACATACAATACCTTTGTTTTGACTATTACATGTAATATACTATCTTGTACAGTGCACTTTACTGCATCTGAGCATGCCAAAAGAAACATAAAAGAGGCTAATGCGTGCTAGGGCTTTATCACCAAAGTTAACAGCGTCACCGCGACAACCCCGGTTTCGGAATACCAGCTTCAGTCACCGATTGTGTATATGGATCAACACATTTTATGTTTCTTTTATGTCACCCTGATAGAGCTCCTCCTCCTCTACAAGGCATACTATAACACTCTGAGTAAACTCGCCACTGGTGTCGAGCAAGAATTGGTTGAAGGCAGCATCTCCAAATGGAGGTTTTGTTGTTGTTGTCGTGCTATTCTCGTGTTGTTTGCGAAGCACGACTGAAACTGGCCCTTACCCCGTGGGACATCCTTAAGATAACGAATTTTCCTACCCCCCCTTGTTTTAAGATACTTCGAAAGGGTACGTACAAAAATGTATCTGTACATAATCCCCTCTGAAGTGCATTTGACTGGTGACTTTTACGGGTACCACAACTCAAAACATGTGCAACTAGATGCCTTTGTCCTTAACCCTCCTCCTTCTCCCCTCTGGAGCCCCTTCAACTAGTAATCACTTTTACGGGTACCACAACTCAAAACATGTGCAACTAGATGCCTTTGTCCAGACTAGCTTAACCCTCCTCCTTCTCCCCTCCGGAGCCCCTTCAACTAGATCACTTTACGGGTACCACAACTCAAAACATGTGCAACTAGATGCCTTTGTCCAGACTAGCTTAACCCTCCTCCTTCTCCCCTCTGGAGCCCCTTCAACTAGTACACTTTTACGGGTACCACAACTCAAAACATGTGCAACTAGATGCCTTTGTCCAGACTAGCTTAACCCTCCTCCTTCTCCCCTCTGGAGCCCCTTCAACTAGTAATCACTTTTACGGGTACCACAACTCAAAACATGTGCAACTAGATGCCTTTGTCCAGGCTAGCTTAACCCTCCTCCTTCTCCCCTCTGGAGCCCCTTCAACTAATCACTCTTACGGGCACCCTCCCACACAAGGGGAAAAGCCAGTATCTGGTACCTGGTACTGGTACCGGTACGATTATACAATTACGAGGTATGAGTACCGGTCAGATGTAACCCAACAATCCAAGTCCACTCGTCATACTGGGAAGCTGAGGCTAACAAGCTGGGCTCAGGCCAACATGGGTGGTACGACCAGGACTGAGGCTGCCAGGGAAGGAGCTAGGAAAACCGCTAGGGAGCCATGTCACTAGCTGGGAGGGTTGCTTGGTAGCTAGCAAATGCTAACTGACTGGATTTTCGGATGGGGCCGGTAGAATGATGCTTTGGAGCCCTGTCACTGGAGAGTTGCTCAAGTGGTAGCTAGCTATCTAAAGCAAGCATACATTCTGGGAGCCCCTGGCAGTAAGTATTAGTTATTTGCCAATCAACTGACAGCCCTTTTACTGTTTTATTTCCGTGGTTGGCGCCACCAGAGGCATCTTGTTTGTGGATTGTGGCGGTGTGCTGCATCCTGTTCAATAGCCCATAATAATATTATTGGTTTTTTTGTTAAGGCAGAATGTAGGGCTAGTCTGAAACAGCTGCACCAGTACTGGCGGGAGTAAGAAATAATAGCCAGCTGGCCTGGGGGGCGACTGGCGATTCGATTCGATTCGACTGTCACTCGTCACTCAGCCTCCGTGATACCGGTACGGTACACGTACGTCAGGATAATCAGAATGAACGGGGAACGGGCTAGAAACTGAAGGGCAAGCTATTTTAATTAATAATAAGATTGCAATCTTTCCCTTCGCCGTGAGTTCTTTTTTTTTTAACCGTGTCTGTTCTTCTGTGACGTATGTGAACCCGCGTTGTGCGGTACCTGGTACCTGGTACGTACTGATGACATCGCATAACCCATTTTTAGGGACCAAGTCGGGACTCGACCCAAACAAACCTACTGCAAATTTCCGAGCAATTTGCGCACAGCTTGGCACGCGTTTTGAAAAGATGTTTATTTGAAGACCCAAACCGTGGTCGAATTCAAGGAATCTCCAACATACTCATGTCAACCCATCCTCCCCACCTCACACTTTTCTCACTGCCCTGCAAGCAACCCCCACTGCCTCGCTTTTTCCTTCCATAAATTAATAGTGACCATTATCGAGCTCTTTTCCCTTCGTCCGCAAGAGATCGAATCATTGAATCTTCTCCCGCAGTGAATGCAACGTGTCATCGTGCTCCCGTCAACCTCCCGCCATGATGAGACAGGAGGACTCCGCTCCCATTGGCATATTGCTGGGTCAACAACATATGTGGGTGGACAACATATTTCCATTTCTGGGGAAGGGACATTATGCTTTGGTTGGAGCTGTCAACAAGCAATTCAATCAACACTACAAAGAGTTTTGTAAGAAAGCGGGGAGTGATCCGTGCACATTCTACAGAATGGCTTTTCGGACTGTGTCATGTGCCGAGTACTGGTACTCAGACAGCTCAAGACACAAGACTCTGGGGAAAGATTGGGTTTGTGCGGAAATTGCCAGACATGGGCGTCTCAGGGTTCTCGAATGGGCCCACAACAAGGGATATGAATGGAATGGGGACACTGCGGAAGCTGCTGCCGAGAGTGGGCAACTTGAGGTGCTACAATGGCTGCATGAGCAAGGCTGTACAGTGAATGAATGGACGTGCACAGCTGCTGCCGGAGGGGGGCATCTGCGTGTTCTCAAGTGGGCACGGGAGCAGAACTGCTCATGGAATATCTACGCTGCTGCAGACGCAGCTAGATATGGTCATTTTGAAACTCTCAAGTGGGCTATTGAGAATGGATGCTATTGGGATACCAACACATGCTCAGGTGCTGCTGAGGCTGGCCACTTTGGAATCTTAAAGTGGGCAAGAGAGAAAGGATGCCCATGGGATAAGAGGACATGCACATCAGCTGCAAATAGTGGGCATCTTGAGATTGTGAAGTGGGCACAGCAGAATGGATGCCATTGGGATGCTGATACATGCTCTGCTGCTGCTGGGGGTGGACATCTCAGTATTCTGAAATGGGCACATGAGAATGGTTGCCCATGGGATGCCTCAGTTTGTGCTTCTGCAGCTGCAGGTGGCCACTTGGGGACTCTGAAATGGTTGCATGAGCACAGATGCCCATGGAATGAAGGGACATGTTCAGCTGCTGCTGGAGGTGGGCATCTAGCTGTTTTGACATGGGCCCATGAGAATGGATGTCCATGGAACTCGATGACATGCACACTTGCAGCGCGAAATGGTCGACTAGGCATTATACAATGGGCCCGGGACAAGGGATGCCCATGGGATGCAAGGACATGCTTAGAAGCTGCATATGGACGGTTGGAAGTTCTGAAGTGGGCACATCAGAATGGATGCCCATGGGATGCAAGAACATGCCAAGCTGCTGCTGGAGGTGGGTTTTTGGAAGTTCTACGTTGGGCCAGCATGAATGGATGCCCCTGGGATGGCTTAACATGCTCAGCTGCAGCTGCGGGTGGGCATCTTGACGTTCTGAAATGGGCCCGTGAGCATGGCTGCCCATGGGATTCAAGAACCAGCTCAGCTGCTGTGATATATGAGCGCTTTCATATTCTAAGCTGGGCTTGTGAGAATGGATGCCCAGAGCCGGAAGACCATGATACAAATGAACTCATTTGATTCCGCCAAGGGGGTATGCACGTCCTGATCAAGGATGGCGAGACTGCCACTCAAGCCGACACCGGTGGGTATCAAGACAAACTACTCCAATTCCATTTGCTGCGAGGATTCCAGCAGCAAGTGCCACTGCGAATTGAAACTCCGGCAATGCTGGAGTTGACGGGCGATCTGGTGGTTTGTGCGTCGGTGTGGGAAACGAGGACCGTACCCGTTCGGCCGCGGTTCGGGGAACGATACTCTATGCATATGGAGCCCCCAATGTCAAACTCAAAAGTGTCGGGTGGCGTCGTCAAGATTTCGATCGTCACCGTTGCGGGAAGGGCAGCCGCCACTGCAGAGGGCAACCAAAGAGCGGTCTTGGGATCAATAAGACAAACAGACAATGGATTCGGAGGCGCCCTCTCAAAGGACTCGATCTTCCCCGGATTCCATGTGTCTGCGTTGGACAAATCGAAAGATGCCGCCAGTATGCCGCTTGGAGACGGCAATGCCATGGCCGTGAAAGAGGGCGTTGCGGTGGTGTATTGCCGTGGACACGTGTGTATTGGATGCTCTGTAACATACCTAGTAAACGTAATCATTACAATTGTTACCAAGCCAATTCCAGGGTATGCCACTTTTCAGACAAATGGTCGCTCCCAGTAACATTAAGCAGAACGTTAGCATGAGCAGCCCGATAGGGCTTCGTAGCTCCCCAAGTGAACCAGCCGGCACGAGCCTCGCGATCCCCACAATGGTTGGCACCAAGGCAGCACTGGAGTTCACTCAAGAGTTGGCCCCTACATTGGTTGGTCCAAGCACTGGATCTGTTGGCTTTAGCACTGGCCCCAGCACTGCAATCCTGACAATGCGCAGCCCCAACACTAGAATTGCTTCAACGGTTGGCTATTCGCTACTATAGTTGGTTGACTTTGTGGCATTCACTTGACTATTCCCCAGGTACCGGCCTGAAAATGTTGGTGAAAGGTTGTGGCCTTCAAATCGGTTCATTTCCAATCTCAAGAGGCGAGCTGAACAAAAGCTCTCCGTCCACAGCTGCCACCCCCATCATCAGATCGTGATCGATCAGGGGCGGCCAGCTGAATGATGACATGGAAAAGCGCTGCGCCTTCACGCACGTGGAGGGCTTCGACCTATGATGGGTCTGCTTGATCAGGACCGTAGCGTGCCGATTTTTCAGCAGAGTTTTCACCGTCAAAGCTATGGTTCGTTTTTGTCGTTGTTGTTGTTGTGGTCGCCTTTGTACGTACGCTACGAACACACGCACAAACGAAACCAATCGGGCCCTATCGATCATCACACAATCCATCCATCCATCCAACCTCGTGGCTAGAATTCATCCTGAGTACGACGACCGTAGTCATCGTTGTATTCCATGTACAACGTTCGTGTCATGGACCGCACCGATTTCCAATTGGCTTCGATAATGTCCTTTTGTTGCGTGCGAAAGATGAGCGCCACTCGCAATTTCTCGAGGGACATGTGCTGTTTTGGCTCGGCCTCGTGTATCATGTTGGCCAGTAGATCTTGGTCGTACGACAAGGACGTTGGAAATTGTTGTCGACGACGACGCAACCATTGATCGGCCAGTTCCAGTGCTTGTCGTTCCATCTGGAGATGGACGGCTCGTTGTCGGCCCAAGGAGGACGCCTGCCAGAGCAAACGCGTATTCTTTTGTTTATCGTCTTGCAGCCACACGACCGCCCGTGCCACACTCAACAGAGCTGTGACGCTATTACGAAAGAGCCGAATAGTGGCTCGTAGAGTAGTGGGTTGTTGCTGTAGATGACTATCGTGTGGTTGTTGTTGTGATTGTGATTGGTAAATGGTGACTCGTCCGTTCCGAGGTGTCATGTGATCCATGGAATGTGGGTGCTCGTACGGTCGAGTATCGGTGACAATGGATTGCAGTAATGGAATCCAGTGTGGATTCTCTGCCAGAGTAGTTGGCAGTTGTATGTCCAACATGACAAATTCACTGGGATTGTTGGGAAATGCATGACAACTTCTTTGTAGAAAGGCTAGATTGGTGGTGGATTGTGGAACGGTAAAGACTTCAGTGCCTTGTGATAGTGCCACAAAGGTTTGGACTCGACCTCCTGTTTGTGGATTGGTGTTCACCGAAAAAGCAGCTTGCTCCAACAGATTGGAATCGGCCATGTCCAATACCGGCCATAGCTGATGTCCCACCCATTCCCTGGAACTGAGTACCAGGTTGGCCCACGCAAAGCGCAGCCGGTCGTCAAAGAATACTGTTTCGTTACTAGTAGCGGGTAGTATATTCCATCGTTGTTTGAGAAAGGCTTGAGCTGCAGGTGTACTATTCCACTTGAACTTGTCGAGAACTTGCTGTGTGATGGTTGTCCATTTATTCCATTCATAGTCATTGTCCCACAAGAACGCAGGAGACCAGGCGGATGGTTCCGGAATTCGGTTTGGTTGGGGCTGAGGCATGCCAGGTTCATAGGGTTGCATCTGTAGTTCCTCGATTTCCTGCTGCGACCAGTGACAGTGTCGTTGGTAGTCTTCCAGTGTTGGCAGAGAGTCAAAGTAGGGGTCAAACAGGGATGTTCCTCTACCGGTAGTAGCACTAGCAGTAGAAGAAGCCTGCAGCATGAGAAAGGTCTGCATGATCCATTCCTCGGTGACCTGCTGCGGACAACAGCTCTGAGCGTCTCGAATGAATTTATTGGTCACGACATGAGGAGATGCAGGATGAAGACTCAATTCCGAAGGAACATACAACACATCCACTCCTTGTGCCAAGTCTCGATTCGTCATCAACTTGCGATGGCCTGGACCAATTTCCACCACCGTCGCATGGGCTATTCCACCGTGATCTAACAGCCATTGCAACAACCGTTCTCCAGATTCAGAGGGACGGGGATAACCATCATGACTACTCCTCGACGCTAAACAGAAGACACTGCAGAGAAACAATGCCAGAAGCAGAGTATGGTCCATGTTTCCTTTGTTCGGTCCTTGTGCAGTGCCATGCATTGGACGTCTGAGAATGTGGTGTCTGTGTGGTGTTGGATTCAGGACTCGAATGTAAAGATACTTAGAGGACGCATCTTTAGTCCCTAATGAAAGACTTAAAAACAACCTTAGGCGTGGAACACGGCGTGGAATGATGAGGATGTATTTGTAGGGTTAAGGCTCTTCTGTTGCAGCCATCAATTCGATTTTTGGGGACAACCACAATGGCGAGACCGTGAGCAGCGCACTCCACTTTCCGGCTCAGCAACCCTACTACTACTAGTTAGTACTCCTTGAAATAGACTCCTGTACTGGCTAAAGCACCAAACAAAGAGAAACAATCATGTTGGAACGTCAAGAGATGATCTACTGCGGTGCCTGTGGCATGCCACCAGAATACTGCGAATGGGGTCCTGACTACGAGACGCACTGCCTTCCGTGGCTCAAGAAACACCATTCCGCCCTCTTTGAGGAATTGGCAGAGAAACGAGGGACTCCTGCTGCTTCTGCTGGTGATGCCAAGGACGAAAAACCCGTCAAGCAACGACCCGAGGCACCTTGGACCACAGAGCAACGATTGATGGAATTTTACAAACAGTACGAACCAAACAAGCTAGACAATGTACCCGGATTGCTCGAAAAATATGCTGGCAAAGAAGATAAATTGTTTCAGGCACTCACCAAAAAGGTAAGCTGACAAAGGTCTCTTCATTCATTATTAGTCCTTTGGTTTCCTTACCAATTTATATACTCATTCATTCATTCATTCGATGCAGTACGGCCCAGAACCAGATGATCCCTATTATGATGACAGTGAAGATGAAGAAGAGGACGATGAGGAAGAATTGGAGGAGGACATGGCCAACGTTACTCTGTCCGCAGCCGACAAGAAAAAACGACGTGGAGCCGGAGCCAAAAAGAAAAAGAAGGGTGATGGAAGCGGTCCTCGTGTCGTTGTGCAAAAACGAGCCCAGAACAAACGCAGAATCTTGACGGTCATCATGGGAATGGAGACGGTAGAAGATGTCAAACTCAAGGATGTCAGCAAGGCATTCAGTAAACGATTTGCCGGAAGTTCCAGTGTCAAGGATGGAGTACCAGGGCCTAGTGGCAAGTCCGCCAAGGAAATCATCATTCAAGGAGATCACCTATACGATGTGGCAGAAATGATTGTCGACAAGTTTGGAGTTCCAGATACGGCCGTCTTTCTCGATATTGATGGAGACGTGGTGCCATTGAGGTAGAATATTATTAAAATGTTGATATGATAGCGCAAGGAGGCAACCATATATATCTTCTGCCACTCCACTGCTCGTTGGCGTCGAGACCGTGTCTTGTGAGCTTTGGGTGTCAACTGAATCTGAAGCTGCCAAAGGGTTTCTACATGTTCGTGGAGTGAGGAAGCATCGAATATTATATAGCTACAATAATGCAGATCTTACCCATATTTGCCTTTTCTAGATCCATTCTCCGAATCGAATCCATTTTAGTACATGGGGGCAACCACCATGAGCAGCTTCTCCGCGTGTCATTGCATCCCATGGACTTACATCCGCGGTCCCGAACCCATTTCAAAACTTGTAGTTGCCCATGTCTAGCTACCGGTAGCGGCCATATGGTAGGCACGGGCCCTCTTAAAACGTTCTAGAAGGTGCCCACGTCCGGCAGCATACCTACATGTTCATGTCCGTCCAATGTGCAGTGCCCACTCCAGGGCCTCCAATGCCCACCGGCAGCGGCAGCAAATGCCGCTACATGTACTACAGACTTCCACAGGCACCCGTTTTTGTGGGCCCACTTTATAGCTTCCAGATGCTCACCTTCAGCTGTCATGTTTGTTGATGCCATGGGCACCCATTCTCATAGGCCAAGGGCCGCCTTTAGAACTCCAATTTGGATGCCCACCTACCTTTGGCAGCATACTTACCGTACAGTTCCGTTTATTCCAGGGACACCCATTCTGACGAGCCCACGTCAGAACTGCCAGGTTACTAAGAGGTTGTTCGTGACAGTTGCTAAAAGCCTTGTTCTTAGCTATGCCATACAGTACAACCGATGAAAGAAGAGGATATGAATGGGTGCTCTGGATGGTAGGATGTGGATTTGAGTTCCTCTTCAGTGATGTGAGGATCGCCCAACGCAAAGATCCAATGATGAACGACTGAATGTCTTGGATCCAATGTGGTTTGACCTCTCCTCACAACTTGCAAAAGCAAAGCACGCATTCATCGACCATGGCAGACAGCACTTCTACTAATCCTAATAGCGCTATCATCTACACGCCGCGAGAAGCCGTCTTGCACAGTGCTGACTTCTTGAAGAGGCGGAATACTGTCATAACTGTTAGGGGAACAGCCGTATTGGTGGATAAGGAACTAGGACGAGTGGACATTGCTCACAATGGCGCCAAGTTGATTGTTCGTCTACCTCCAGAAGCTCCAGCGGGCATCGTGATTGTGGATGATGGGGATCATGATGCCAAGGAAAACATCAGTTCATCACAAGAAGAGGAGAAGATCGTCAAGAGTGGAATCATTGTGGATGTAACAGGGACCCTCAGGAAGGAGCAACGTCGAACTTTTCTGCAGGCTACCAGCTTGTCACTACCGCTACCGTAGCTGTGCATTAAAAGGACTACCGGTAGGATCTAGCTGCCAAAAGAGGTTGGCTGCAACTACTGATAATTAGGTGCTGCCGGAGACAGACGTGATATCATTCGCTAGCTCAAGTAGCCGGGCCTTACTCGTGTTTTGCCAGCTCCGTTTGGTTCAGCCAGGTATTAAAATACCACTAGCGAGAAGTAATAACATGACTTCCGTCATCGGTCGTGCTGGTTGCTTTGCCACTCGGAACTCTTCCGTGTTTATTTCAAGGGGTCTCGAACTTGCTAGTAGACATGGAGATCTGCTAACCAGCCGAACAAAATACCAGTGTTGTCAACTCGATCGGAGAAGGTAAGTTGAAGTTCCAATTCGTAGTAAGGTTTTTTAATCATTAAGTCAAGAGGATCTGGCTACACCCACCTAGCTAGCTAGCCTAGCAATCTCCTCCTGGTTTTTGTATGTAGATTGTGCAAAAGTGGATTTCAGTGTTCAACCAAACAACAAAAGCCCACTCCCTCGTGAAGTTCCTACGATTCTTTCATCCAGTGAATTGCAATCTCATCGTCATTTCGTGCATTTATTTCCATCCATTCGCTCTCTCTTTTGCATCCGTGCTGATAGATTGGTTTGGTTGCGATTGTGTGTTTCTATTTCTTGACATCCGCAAATCCAATAGTCTGGTCGACGTAGTTAAAGACGGTGTAGTATTGCCTCATGAACACATCGCCCAAAATCCATTGGGGTCCAGGAGGAGGAAAGTCGATTCCCATGAACGCAAAGAGACAAGTTCCTTGGGCTTGAATGACGGCATCCTTGCCCTTGATGCTGTAGTCCTTACCAGCAATCTTGAAGGTAATATCGGGCACCTGATCCAACGTCTTGCAGTCAATGGTGTATTCTCCCATGATATTGGGTTTGGCTCCCACGGCGGCGGCCAATTTGGTAATTTCTGCTTTGGGACCGGCAATCAAGGAAGTTCCCGAATCGACAATGGCCGTCATGTTGGTGGCCGACGAGTAACTGGATCCTGCAGTAGCTTGATCCAAGGCAATCTGCCAGTAGGTGGCACTTTGAAGTTTGACGTAGGTCAAATCACCAGTGAATTTGTCGGGATCGTAGGCTCCAAATGTCAATTCGCCGGGACCATTGTCTCCCAAGTAAAAGGAGAAGATGGGCTGATCGAGTAGATTCTGGTTAATGGCATTTTCAAATACCGTGGGAGTCTTGTCGATACTAATGGAAGTGAATCCCAGTCCGAGGATACCATCAAATTTGCCCAAGGCATAGGCAAAACCCAATCCACCGGCATCCTGAACTTCGGCAAAACGTTGTCCCGAAATAGTAATATCATCCGCTAGCGTGACACTATCGAGTGAAAAGAATCCACGGACGGATCCACTTCCGTACATGATTTCAAAGTCTCCATTGTCTTCCTTGTAGGAACTCGAAGCGGCATGATCGTATTTGTGTTTGCGTCCAAAAATTGGATTTCCACAATGCGTGCATCCCACCTTGGGGACCCATAGATTGCTACTGCCAGTATCAAAAATGACTTCAAAGGATTGAGGAGGAGTTCCCAAAGTGATGCTACCGTAATATTGGGCATTGGCATAATCCTTGATGGATTCCGATTCTCCCTTTTGGAGGGAATGCTGCTGCTTCAAGGAAATTCCACGCAATTGACGGTCTTCTTCTTCAGCAGAATTTTCGCCTAGGCGGTTCAACAACAAGAGCGCATCTCGTTCACGCTTCAAATGAGCCGCAATCAGTTCCGAATCGGGACGCTTGTGCAGAGGAACCTTGAAGGATTTCGTGCCTTCTTCCTGCTGGGCACCCACGCCACGGGCAAACGAACAAAGTAACAAGAGAGCTCCTGAATCAGATAAAGAAAATACAGCAGATAAGATAACGTTAGATAAGACTCGTGAGCTCAGACACCACAAATGACCCAAAGCTACGATGTACCCATGGGCTAGATCGCTAGATCCTGCCTCTTTTAAAAGAACTGAACCCAGCCAAGCTGAGCCACCAACAACCCAATCGATGATCCCTTTCCACGAGGACGACATGGACACAACATCATCTCTTGTCAACGGAGAGCCCTTGGCTGCATACCGTACCTTGGATCTTCATGGTCAACTATTATTTTTCTTCTGACACCGATCAAAGTGGGAAAATGATGATCCCACAAAAAGGAAAAACGGAGTAAAACGGAGTGAATTCAATCGTGTCGGGAAACAGACACCGCTGTATGCCACACGTAGCTCTGGTACTGGTTTGCCACGAACTAGGCATGCGTTGGATCTTTTCACTCCTCAGCTAAACCAAGCCATGTATCACCAGATAAGGGAATTTGTATCTCTAAAATGAAGCGCTGGAAATACCAGTAAAGGTTATCCACCTACCGTTACAGATTTGACCGTTGAAAAGGCAGCTTCCTCGGTCAAGCCCCACGATCGGAACATCCACAAGAGAGACAACCACGGATCTGAGCACCATGCAATTGATGCAAGCAGGATACCGGTAAACAACGTTGATGATGGAGTTAAGTTCGCCGATACGTCGATTGGCATGTTCCGATATATGATATATGCAGTCAAGTTAAAACTGAACTGAGGGTGGTGAAGTTTGCAAGTCAGGGAGGACGGAGGATGTTTCGGCTTCATCGATCCCAAGCTCACAAAACCAAACAGCAACACACACAAAACCAAACAACAAATACAAGCCACCAAACAACTACGCACAATCACCGCACCTCTCTCGCCAGCACCATCCACTCCTACAAAGAAACTTTCAAACATAAGTAAATCCATTACTAGTAGTTAAGCAAACCAAAAAGGCCAACATGAAGATCCAAATCACCGCACCTTTGCTCGCCCTCGTCATGGCATCTACCTCACATGCCACCGGTACCGACGGGACAACACAGCTGAACAAACTCGCCCACGCCGTTCACGAGAATGCACCTCTGGGGGGCCTTCGTGCTGGCAGCACGGGCCATAGGCAGCTTGGCTGGAAAACCGCTCTGGCCCGATTCTTTAATGGCGTCGACGATGAGGTGGAGCCAGCTGGCATGGAACAAAAGACCCCGATTGCCTTCGCAGCGGGCAATGAAGGAGAATCACAGCAGCTAGCGCGACAGGGCGTGGTTCCCAATCCTCCAGGTGGTACTACGGATCCAATGTTCCAGGCAGGTCTCGATGCCGCCAATGCCAATGACAGTAAAGAATATGGAGACATTTCCGATTGCGGTCCCTGTCACAGTTTGGACGAATGCGATCGCGCCGACGTGAGCCGTGAAATCCACAACGACTCGGGCAATCGCTACGTCGTCGCCAAGGTGGGAAGTGAGATTCTCTTGAGTCGTCCCGATACGCCAGTTTCCTACACGCTCCATGGGAGTGGTGGTATTGCGGGAGCGGATCACGAGTGTGCCCACATTATTCTCTTTGATGGACCGACGGGCGAACTATTGGGTGGATACTGGGCGGTTCCTGGACGTATCACGGGCAATGCGGAGACCACTCCCTATTCGAGTGCTAGCATCAACTCGAACGATCCCGTCAATGGAGATATTCGCATCTTGGTCGATGGTGAGTAGCGGCCCTAACTAAGATGAAGGGTAGATGATGCCTTTGGAACAGCGTCTGTGGTAGAGATAGATGACGAGGAGGGCTCGACGAAAGGAGTATAGACATAGAGTAAAGCTAAGCATAACAGCCAAGCTGGCTAGCCAGACTGGTGAGATCAGCGAGGGAGCTGCAGAAATGAATAGCGAACTTGAAAGGACATCCTCTCCTTGGAACAATGGAGACCACGGTCGGTGTGTAGTTGAGTGGAGTCCTGTCACCGTGGACCGAAGACTGAGTGACTCGACGCAGTCCCAGCATTGGCTACCACATATTTGGCCAGTTCGTGCAACAATACGAGGGGTTTAGAGAACCAAACGGGGTCTACTAGAGTATTGAAAGTGATGTTGGAGCGTAGCTAGATACTCGTAGAGGTACGGTAGCAACCAAAGAACATCAACAAGTTTGAAGATGGCGGAGGAGACTACTGCTCTACTCCACCTTGACCTCCTTATCCAACAGATGTGAAAGTACTGTCTGAAAATATTGCTGCAGTGACCTGGATGCACAGCAACAGCCACTTGCCTTGCTATGGCGGGTGGAACCAGAACTCACAAACACCCAATCAGCTTCTCTTTAGAATATTAGTCACTAAACCAGTGCGTTGTTTATCCCATGTAGACTATAGCTAGCTAGTGTTGATACCTTGTGCTTTCTTTGGTGTTTCCTGTATGTCCCGTTGGCTATGCTAAATTTCCTGGATCAAGGCCTCAGTACGTTTGCTTTGCTTGGATTGTAGGGACATGCGGGATAGCTGCATCAACGTGCACGTCTCACTTGCGTAATCCCTTCTTGCGTCCAACTTTTGTATACTGTACATACCATTCAATCCACACAGACAAGCAAAGGGCAAGGATTGAGGTTGGTCGTCGTGTTGTCATTTTGTCGTCTTTGTGTCTTCGCTGCGTTGTCACTGAGGCGCCGCGAAGTTCAACGATCATCGATGGAGTTGCGGGGAACCGCTCTTGGAGCAGTTCCTTTTTGAGGGTCACCAGCAAATTGTGTTAATCTTCCACTTTGAGTCATGCTTCTATTTTGTGTCATTCTTCCATATTGTGTCATTCTTCCAGATTACTTTTCCTGGTACTAATTGCTACGTGTTTTTACGTAGAGCCTTCCAGATTGTGTCTTTCTTCCAGATTGTGTCATCCTTCCAGATTGTGTCATTCTTCTCTTTTCAGTCATTCTTCCAAAAGAAAACAGTTGGAACTGCCTGATGAACAGGTAAAACAGGTATTCCCGCAACTCCGATCAATCGATTGTGATTCGAATCTGACTCGACTCGACTGAGTGACAGTCGATTCGATTGGATCTTTCTCAATAACGTGGTCGGTGAGGATGTGACGACAAGCAGCGTCCTTTGTGCCTGGGTGACACACAACAAAGACCAAGCTCGACTTCTCATTTCTTGACGGCAGCGGAGATACTAAATACCCAAGAGATCAGGGAAGATGGTCCATTCCGACGCCAATGCTGTTATGGCCGCCCATCACAATAACTTGAGTGAAACCATTCCACTGCTGCCACCTGCAGCACTTAGAACAGAACCCTTGAATGGCAATGGCAGTGGCAATAAGAGCCATGAAGATCAAGATGACAAGCACAAGGAGAAGGTTGACATTATGGATCTGGATTGGATCGACCGTGACGCAGTGTACTTTGGCGTTCGAATGACGCTTTGCATCACAATCGCATCCTTTTTCATCTTGCTGCGTTCGCCAGGAGACGAATTCATGCCGCAAGCATTTTGGGTGGTAGTGACGGTACTGTTTGTGTGTTGGTTTCCTACCAGTTTGGATGCGGCTTCGGTGGTGGAAAAGAGTCTGCAACGTCTTTATGGAACCATCATTGGCGCTTTCTCGGGTATTTCCTGCGGATTCCTGTCCTTGCTCATACTCTACAAGACACACGATACCGATCAAATTCTGTATGAGGATGAACAGCAAGATACCTCTTCTCAACAGCACCTGAATTCAAGGGATAATTCCAACCCAGTGGGTCAATCTGCCTTTTTGATAGCTTGCATCTCCATCTACACGTTTGTGATTTGTTGGGGAGCCCTGCAGTTCCAAGTCAAAGGCAAGAAGGGAGGCCCCAAAATTATCGCCAAGTACAACTACGCCTGCATCCTCAGTCTGTTGACCTTCTACATTAGCATTTTGCCATTCTACTCGGAATCCGAACCCAAATGGCGCAAGGCACGCTGGAGAGTCACCAATGTCATTGTGGGCTGCTTCATTGGAGCGGGGTTGTCAGTGTCCATATTTCCAAGATCCACAAAGACCATCATTCAACACAAAATCAAATTGCAACTTCAGTGGGCGGGAGAAGCTGCCGAAGCCGTACTGCACTATGCTGCCGATTCATTCTCGGAAACTGCCTATGTGGGATCACCCCCTCATGTTAGTCGAGTCCAAAATCATCCGCACAATCTACAGAAATCCATTCGAGAACGACTCTCCGATAAGTCACGACTCTGGAAACAACAGGACCACACCAACAACAACACGGCAAACACGGCAAACAACAACGAAAATCACGCCGAAGTTGCACTTGCCAAATACGAATCTGCAATCAACCAGTTTCGAATCATCAAGACACAACTCAACAACTTGACATATGATCCCTTTCGATTCTTTTCGTCTTCTTCCTCTTCCTCATCCTCCAATAACAATAGCAGCAGCCTCGAATTGCAACACTATCGGACCCATGTCAACAATATTCTCGCAAGAGCCCTACGCATTCAAAACACTGTCGTACTACTCGATGGCATTGTACGAAACGATCCAAAACACAACTTTAGTGCCACACACATTAATCAACTCGCGCGCATTGGAACCTTGATAAGAATCATGTTGACAACCACGACGACACATCACCACGATAACGACAACGACAATGTAAAAAATGAAGCCGCCTTTACCGAACTCAAGGCCGAACTCGTCAAGGTTCGAAAGCACATTCTCGAATTGGCATCCGTCGTTGCCCATTCGCCCAGAGAAATGCCAGCCGAAGATTACGGAGGACAGTTGGACAAGGGAATGATTGGACGATCCAATTTGGATTTGACCACCATGATGATGATATCATCGCAGGATGATGACGACAATGATGAAGAACAAGATGTCAGTATGAACGACATGGGAGGACGGGTGGCACCCAAACATGTGCACGGGAGTCGCGTCTGTGCCCTCTTGTTCCTACAGCTCGTCGAACATTTGGCGCTGCGGTCCATTCGACTCTATCAGTCATGGAAACAGCAATGTGAGGAGTGGCAACAAGAATGAAATGAAACAATGTATGCATTTTAAAACACTAGCTTGTACCGTACTGTACTGTACGATCGATACGTGAAGTAGTCTGTATAGTTCGAACGGTGAAACCAATCAGCCAGTTGCTGGATCATGCCCCCCACAAAAGTAGCTACGTTGCCCCGAGGACTGCTCTGTCGATGCATGCGTGGCCCATTCTGTCCATCAACCCGCCGCGAAACAGCCATGTATACAACGCCGTTTCCGTGGCTGTCATTGACAATCGTTCACTCATTGGCTCTGTCGTTGCGGCTGCATGAGGAGAAAAAGAGCCGCCCCGACCAAGGCCAAGGCCAGATTGTCAACTTTGGAAGGTCGGTTCCAGCAGCGTCACCATGGTCAGATTGCCACATATGATCAAGGCATCAGCGGAATATTTGGATGGCTAGCTTGCAAGAATCAAATACTTGTGCATCGGATTGTTTTTTCAGGACCTAGCAAGAAGATTCCCCAATCTTTGAAACTGCCATCTCATCGTTCCATCCCTGCCCCTTACTGTTTCCACCGCCAGTGCACGCACATCTCTGTTTGCACCGGTCACCAAGAATTCTTACCAGCCGTCGTTGCCCACCCTCCGGCCGGCAACTACCAAACCTGTGAAAGATGCCGGCACTTTCAATGGTGGTCCCCGAGATATGATGGGATGGCCTATTTGATGTTGCCGCATTCATCATCAGGCTTGTTCCTGGGGGGACACGGGCATGACGCTGCCGATACTTTGGAATAAATACTGGCAATAGTAAGGCCAGACAGCCAATGCAAACGATTATGGATGCCACCAAGTAGAGAGCTGTGGGATTCTCCAGTACTACAAAAATAGTGGGGACTGTCCAGGCACGATCGTTAACAAGTGGCAAAGCAGCACATGGGTTGGTCAACATTTGTGATTCCACATTACCATTACTGTAAGGATGCGACAACACAAAATGGAACTTACCACCCAAAAGAACTGTTTCACTTAGACTGATCAGGGAAACATGCAAGTAGCCTGCTTCGGACAGCTCCCAAGGAGCATGGCGTGCTTGATAGGATTGAATTGTTGCCATTGCAAGTGCTCCGAGGTTCACCAAGGCAAGTGGAACCGCCAGATACAAATACGATTGGCCGTGGTCTGGCCGGCACATGCCATAGGAATCTGTGAATCTATCAAATGCATCCACACTGCCCTCCACTATTATGCGATGCCAACGTATGTGAAAGGGAGACAAAGTCCATGCAGTCAAGAGGACAATATTCACCCCCAAAAGCAGCATGGTAGGCCGTATCACATCTTTTGGCTTCACTGTTATTCTCCGAAGCTCCCTCCCCAATCCAATCAATTTCAAGATTCTGGAAGCTTTACTCCATAGGGCTGAAACGGCTAGTGCAAAGCCAATGCAGAACGTCCAAGGAAGTGACATACAAGCAGCATCCAAGCCAGGCAAACCCTCTTGCCAACCCATCGGAACAATCGTAACAGCCATGAGCAAAGTTCCAAGGCAAAGCTGCACCAGAAAGGGTGGCTGTGATGATCTGACTGAGAATTTATCCCGATTGTTCCACACCCACATGGCAAAGAGAATCGACATGACCATGACTAGCCCTCCGAGGCTCAAGCAAAAGCATACTACCCAACGTGGGATGAGATTGAGATTCTGTTGGAGTGGTGGCAAGGGACATGGTGGTGCGGTGGAGTTGTCATGATAGATAAATGGTCGATGATGCAAAAGGTTTATGCTGCTGTTTAATGGAGCCGCTTTGTCCACTATTGGTGACACTTCCACAGTGGCCACAGTTTTTTGGGAGAACAGAACTTTGGACGAGGATGCTGACGTTGTGTTGTTATCAAGGAAGTCTGACAAAACAAGGTTCACAATGGGATACTCCAGGTTGGCCCCTAGTCTTGTTCCTGTCACATTGTCAAGTTGGACCCTACCAGAGGCCCCGAGAAAGTCCGCCTTCAGCAGGTTCTGATAGAACTCTTGTCCTGTAAACAGCCCCGTTGATTCACAGGCAGCTATCCCGAGGGCAATCATGGCATCATATGTAAGATATTGATACAGAGACCGCCCTGGTTGTTCCCCAAATGTATAGTTCTCCAGAAGTCCTGGTTCCGCTTGTCTTGACAAGACCTCTTGCTGCAGACCCAGATCACTGGCAAAGTTGGCCATGGCATGATCTAGTGGCGGATATGGCTTTACCCCTAAGTTGACCACTCCTGTCCCGTGTAGAGCCAATGCTATATCCATCTCTGTAGATCTGTCGAGGGAAAAGTCCTCCCCGGTCAATTCAACAGCATAGGGGAAAATCCATAGATTGTCGGGATTCCCCATGAGGCCATGCTGATAGGCGCTCCTTACTAAAGGTTTCCATGACCAGGCATCCAGTATGGAAATAAAGTATTTGAGTTGTGATTGCTTGAGCTGTTCCATTGTATTTTGGTACACGTCGGCGGTGTCCTTTGGGTTGATTTGCTTGCTGTATGGAACAGTCGTCAAAGTGATGTCATACTGGTAGGCAAAGAACTTGAGATCTTGTTCAAAGGACCGCCCCCATTCATCCGAGACAAATAGCAGTCCTACATGCCGAACTCCCAGTGAATACAAATAGTAGATACTAGCATGAGCATCTCCAACCGTTGGAATGGTTCTGGCAAACAAGGGTGCTTCATCGAGGGATTGTGCTGTACTGGAGGAGCTGATTTGAGGAATGTCCATGGCATATCCGAGGTGGTTGACGCTTTGTGACACTGCGGAACGTCCCGCACCCAAAATAGCGAATGGTCTCTGTTGTGGCCGTGGTGCTGTTTGATTGCTATTGGCTTGCAACGACTCAGATTTGAGTACACTTCTTGCTGCTTCCACGGGTGAGAACTGAGTGTCGTGATGTGTGGTTGTCATGGAGAAATTACATCGATCCAGTTGCCGTGGTAGCTGTGGCAGGACACTTCCATCCCGCGTCTCCAAATGCTTGCTGGCGAGAAAGGCTGCTATTTGTACATGTACTCGAAACTCGAGGAGTTCTCTGCTTCCATCATCTTGGCGCCTTGTGAGTGGTAACAAGACCATGACATGCCCTTGCCTCTGGTTTTGCGGTCCGTCTTCCGCCTCTTGTTGATACTCCTCGTCGTCGTCGACATTGGCGTAGCGTATTCTGCTTTCTCGTTGGACGGCAGCGGTACGCGTAGTATTCGTCATTTTGGTTGGGAACGTTGTTGGATGCTTCTCCAGTTGAGTTTGGTGATATGTCGCTCGTTTCTTTCAACGTTTTGCCCTGCTCCGTGCAAGGCCGTAGACTGGCAGCGTTCGTTACATGGTTTCATAGCTTTGTTCAAGTTCGTAGTGTTGTGGCTGCCTGCACGAAAGGCACGGCGGCAACTGTTATTCAAACAAGATCCATAGTAGAGGTGAGCATGCACAGTGGCGTCGTCGCCTCGACATTTTAGTCCGAACATATATTTTTTCACAGCGTTGTTCGAACAACACGACGACCATGCATGGATCGAGGCGTTGAGCAAGCACCCGTGCGACAATACCATTGCGTCGTTCTTGCCATCGTGAAATGCATGCACGACGTTTTCCTTCCAAATTCTCGGTGACCACAATTGTGGGCGTGTGTGGCGGTCGAGGCGTTGTTGGACCGAACGCATTGCCACGGACCTTTCAGCTTGTGATCACGACTTTGTCACGAAGATAGCATTTCCATGCCCTGAACCCTAATCCACCCGGATTTCAAAAAGACGTTTCGATGGTGCCAATGCTGAAGGGATCGCCCTGCTTCCACACTCTTCTCGTCGGAAAGAACAGATCGACCATGACACAATTGACCACTCCGTTGGTTGCGTGCGCACTCTTTACCATTCCCACTGTTCGATAGTCTACAACATTATAACTGAGGCCAAACAGCAGAAGCAAGCGGAAGCAAGGAAGGACAGCCAGGATGAAGCGGACTTGCGCCAAGTCAAGGTCAACTACAACGCAGTTGGGTCCACTGCGCATGTCATTGTGGATCCTTCTACTACTAATTGGGAATGTCGCTGCTGTCGGGAACGTCTCTGTCTCCTCTTTGGAGTCGAGCTCTACTAGTAGTAGTAGTGAAGAAGAACACTTACTGAGTGGTGTGTGGAATGGTACTAGTAGTATCAGTGGAGGTTTGGAATGGTCCTCCAGCCTGGACAATGCTTCTACTAGTATTTCTACTAGTATGTCTACTAGTATTGCTACAATTTCTCCAACCAAACAACAAGAAGCTCCTCAGTGGATGATTGACTTTATGGCTTTTCGCAAACGTCTATTTCTGCGGACCGTGGAACCAGTGATTGTGTTTTTGTTGGGACCCGGAGATCCTGATTTTGACAAAAACCAAGTGGAAGAAGAGAAAAACAAAAATGTCCAAGAGATCGTGATCACAAACAACAATCTACACTCGGATGAACATCATCGTCGCCTGGGATTTCTACCGAACTACGTGGTGGACGTATATGCCTTCAAGGAAACGAGCATGTCCTTTGCGACCCTTTTCATGCTCTTTTCGCTGCTCTCGTGTCTCTTTTTGATTTTCCTCTCGTGTTTCTACCACAATCAAAAGACGTCGCCACTCTTTATCAGTCCCAGACGACACAGACTCCCCAAATTGGTGCCTCCGCCGCTACCCGTCGATGGATACTTCAAGTGGGTCAAAGTCTGCTTCTTTCTCTCGGACGACGAAATTGTGCATCGCATTGGATACGATGCTCTCATCTTTCTACGATTCCACAGACTCGCACTTCGGTGCATTGTCAAAATGTCAGTCTTTTCTTTTAGTGTACTATTGCCACTCAATTTCACCGGAGGAGGACACGCCAATGCACAAGATCTCAAGGGATATGTGGGATCACTATTCTTTACCGACTTTCTCAGATTCACAATGGCCAATGTATCGGGAGGATCCCCACGATTGTGGGTACACTGTTTTGCCGCATATCTACTTACGGCCATTGTCGTGCGAGAATTGCTCGCCGAGTACGAAACATTCAACAGCATTCGACACACATACTTGCTATCACGAGAACCGCATTTGCGCACGGTTCTCGTCACCAACATTCCACGACATTTGCGGTCACGACAAAAAATCAATAGTTACTTTCGACACGTTTATCCACAAGCTGTTCAACAAGTCATTCTCTGTCAAAATGTCATGACGCTCGAACAACTGGTCCGACAACGAACGTCGGTACTCTCCCAATTGGAAAAGGAATTGTTGCTGCTTTGTCGCACGGAAAAGTACAAACTATTTCAACCCGAACAACAACGTCGCTTGTCCAAACGAGCATTGGCCAGTTGTTGTCGGTGCAGTTGTTGTGGTACCAACAATCCTTCACTCACCAGTTGGACATTGGCACTGCAGCATGTTTTGGGCGTACGACGATGTTTGGAAAAACTACATTTGGTGCCGGGCACACAAGAACGATTGACACGACTCTACACGCTACTCGAATCACTCAATCAAGACATTGAACAGGAGCAACGACGACGTCGGCGGGTCATGAAAATGCTCGATCGCATGGAAGCGGGAGGAGACGGAGCACGAGATATTGACTATCTATTGGCACTTTCCAGTCCATATGCCAACAAGCAGCACTCGAGCAAAAAGAATCGATTGGGTTTGATCATGCCACCGCCGCCTCCACCACCCCCTCCTCCGCCGCCGCCATTGCCGCTACAACAGCAACAACCGCCAGAACAACCCATGCCCACCACGGCGGCCAAGAATGAACACGTCTTGCGAGCACGGAGTCCCATTCATGCTGCCGTGCCGGGGAATACCACCAGCAGTGACGATGTCGATGATGGAATCAGTGATGCCCAACACTTGGCGGGTGGGCCAACGGCAGTCGACAACAAAAAGAGCAACAAGCCCATACGCAGCAAAATGCAACGACTCTCTCGTATGGTGGGCTCGTCCTTGACGACGGCCACTTCTGGCACGGCTCCAGACAACAACACCAATGGCATGTCTGAAATGGTGGCCGATTCCTACGTTCCGGCACCGGACAGTGATTCCCAACAGGCCACTACCGAGGAACAATATAATAATGGACGAGGAGCACCACCACCGCCCCCTCCTCCGCCGCCGCCACCACCACCACCGGCTGCGCATATTGAAGATCATCTCAATGAAGTCAGTGACAAGGCATTTGTCGTCATGCAAACATTTACGGCAGCAACGATTGCCATTCAATCCATGCACAGTTCTCGTCCCGGATCTATGCAAGTCAGTACGGCTCCCGAACCACGAGACATTTTATGGGACAACATTTACGTCTCCAAGGGGGCCACACGAACGAGGAGCTATATTGGAGAGTTTTTGGTACTCCTCATCATTACCTTTTACGTGGTCCCCATTGCATTGGTCTCGTTGTTGGTCAGTGAATCGGCATTGGTCAGTTCCTCCCCGCGTCTGGAACAACTCGACCAAGCCAGTGCCTTTTTCAGTACTACCATTGCCATGGTCCAACCACTCTGTATTGTCAGTATTCAGCAATTGCTCCCGCCGCTCTTTATTGCCATTGGACGTGCCGAAGGGTTGGTGAGCTTTTCCGAAGTCCAAATGCGAGCCTTTTCACGCTACTTCTTGTTCCAAGTCTTGAATGTCTTTTTGGTCACCACCATTGCCGGGTCCATCTTTGATACCATTGCCATCATCGTGGAAAACCCGGAAGCCGCCTTTGAAATGTTGGGGAATTCCTTGCCGCGAATGTCGAGTTTTTTCATCACGTTTGTCACCATCAAGACTTTTCTCGGGTTAGGTACGTTGTTGGATTTTGAATGTTTATTTTTATTGTTGCTGCAGCAGCAGATTGTCTCATGATACTGATGTTTGGTGCTTTGTGGTGTAGGTCTGGAATTGGTACGCACCATGTCTCTGGTACAGGCAACGATTCGGTATTTGCTCTTTCCCAATTCCACGCTCCGCACGCAACGAACGGTGCTCATGGGAATGCGAGCCATTGACGACCCCGGCTGGTTCCCTTTTCACAAGATTCTGGCCCAAGACATGCTGGTCGTTGTCTTGAGTGTCGTCTTTGCGGTCGTGGCACCGCTTGTGCTATTCCCGTGTGCTCTCTTTTGCCTCTTTAGTCGAATCATGTGGACTCATCATCATTTGTACGTCTACGAGAGTGTTTTTGAGAGTGGAGGGCAGTTCTGGCCCAAGATCTTTCGGCGCTTCATCTTTGGTTTGATCATTGCCCAGATGACCATAACGGGCCAATTCATCTTGAAAGAAGCAAGACATGAAGCTTACGGTACGTCAATGCTCTACTCTGATTCGTCTGTTCTGATCTGTTTCGTCTGCATGGAACTGAATCCTCACGATGTCTGTCATAAAACCGCCGTAGCCACCATTGCGCTCATGTTCATGACATATCTCTTTCTGAGAAGCACCCGTGCAAGGTATGACCCTACGAGTTCCACGTTGCCTTTGGAAGTGGCTACTGTAATGGATATCAAGCTGCATCAAGAACAGCAACAACAAGCATCAGCGGCCGCAGCTGCTGCGAACCTGTCTGGAGAAGTGCCCCAAACGGGACCTCACATTCATGCTCGAAACGAGCCACACGAGAATCCCACAGAGGAAGCTTCAGATACGGTCCCTCCACTACCCGATTTGGGCGTTCGGATTGGCCCCTACGATCCGTTCGAAAATGCGTACGTTCAACCGGCTCTCCGCGCCAATCCAAGAGCTCGACCTGAGCAACCCTTCCCTCCGGCCCAACTTGGACGGGAGGACATGACCACTGCGTACGTTCAAACCGTGGCTGCTGCCAGTGGAGCAGCTCCTTTGGGTGGCATTGATGCTCAACGAATTCAGCAGCAGCAACCCGTTTCCCCCGTGTTTGACAGTGGAGCTCGAGTCCGATTGAAGGGTCTCCATCAACGGGATCGACACAATCTAAACAATTGGTGGAATGAGCAGCTGAGACAATGCGGCGACCAGAACTTTTTCAAGATCTTGATGGGTGAGGAGTGTGGAAACCTGAGAATCACAGAAAACGAATTTGGGGCTCCGTCCCTCGTGAATCGGAAGAAGGGATTGGGGAAGCCCTACGAAATTGTTTAGGAAGTTGAAAGTAGATGAGAGGTCTTTAGCCAGCTGCCCGCATTTCTAGTGAGGGAGGTTTCAGACGCTTTGGTATCACCTTCGCCTTAGATATTTAATCATGGATCACATTTATTGCTGAAGAGGAACGATGAATCAAGGAACGACCCGACTCTTTGGCTAGCTAGCTCCGGGCTTTCAGGTAGCAAGGCAGTCAATTTCAAGTGTCAACGTATCGGTTATGAAATTTTTCTATTTGCTCCTTTGCCTTGCTGGATGTGGTTTGGGCATAAAGGGCCCGGGCAACGGTTTTCACGTGCACAGACTTTTGAATCCATGGAGGCGCTGCTTCAAGTGCACTCCAGCCAGTATGTCGAATCGAACTTCCAATCTTCCAATGCTTGTCATTATGCAACTTTTCTCGGCCGGTCAAGCTTTGTCCACGATTGCTTTCCTAGCAGAGATCTGACCCCTTCAAGAAGTGGCCTTTGTTGGCACCAGGTTTGGTGAGTTTACTGCGCCTAGTGCTTCCAGAAACTGCTTGCACTAACAGCGCTGAGGCACTCTCCAGAGTCTTGAGAATTCCACCATTCTTGGCTTTGGGGTTGCCAGCCACAAATGCTTGCTTCTTGGTGCCATGGCCACTGCCACCAGTAAGGTTGCTGAGGTGCTTTGTTGCTTTCCCTTCATGGCCATACTTTCTCTGAAAGTGGTTCCAGTCTTCCGACTCTGTTTCGTGTTGTGCAGTATCGGTATAACTAAACATTTTCCTTGTTGGCAACTACTTCTCTCCAAAATCAATGCGCACTGGACCTTGCCTTTTGCAAATGAGTTTCTCTAGTAGCCAGCCAGTAGTGAGTGCGCGCATTTTTTGGCCAAGTTGCTACTGTAGAACTCAGATTCTGTGTCGGATTCATCTCCAGTTATTCAGTGCTCACAGCTTTGATGCTTACAGTTGTCACCTGCATTCAACCAGTTGAAAAGAAGCTGTCAAGGATGTGTCAAGGCAAAGGATGGATGGACGATGGCCGGTTGACTGGACCAATATTATAACCCCTTTGAGCTGCGAGGGTATGCCGGGATACTCACTGCGACAGTCCTCTCCGGGCATACCGGTAGTGGTACCGGTATCAGTGTATTGAGCTGGCCAGCTGCGCACTATTTTGCTGTGTATGCACCGAAGCAAATCGGATGTGCACATGCCAAGGATCTCAACTACTGCCTTGTACTTTCTAAACTACTTGGTAAGCAGACGCCTAGATTCCATCGAAGCTAAGCGACCACCTAGCTGGTCTCTACCTCGCGGGCAAAGCAAGACTATTCATTTCCTAATCCTAATTTATTGTCACTTTGAGAATTCTCTCAGATGGCATGCGGTGCTTTCAATGGCGACATGCATACGTACGGTACTGGTTGCTTTTCATCCAAAAGTTAGATATATGCATTTTGTTATTTAGCTTCCTGGTTGTGCAATTTGCGCCTTAGTATCGGGCAGAAACGAAGCTAGGTATTCTATTAATAGGTTCAAATGTGGAGACACTTGCCGTGGAGGTGCTTCAAGCCCCCTCCACAGTCCAGTATTGCCAATTCCACGCGGACAAACTTCCTGCCTTGCTACCTGCTGCTTCTTCTTCGATCCTCGTGAAGTCTCTTCCGTTGTCCTCCACTGCTTTCGCTGAGATCTGAGCCCTTAATGAAATGGGCTTTGCTGGTTCCGGGTTTGGTGAGTTTGTTGCTTTTGCCACTTCCGGAAGCTGCTTGCACCAGCAGCACTGAAGAGCTGGCCAGAGTCTTCAGAATTCCACCATTCTTGTTGGTTTGGGAATCAACTGGCACAAATGCTTGCTTCTTGGTGTTGTGGTTGCTTCCAGACATGAGATGGCTCAGGTGCTTGGTTGCCTTTCCTTGTTGCCCGTACTTTCTCTGGAAATGATTCCAGTCTTCAGTTCCATCTTGCCCAGCAGAACCAAACATTTTCTACTAGTAGTATTCCAGATCGATGAAGATTGAGGTATGCCTCGGTTTATGCAGGCTAGCAGGTCCGCTGTCCGCTCGATGCTCGCCAGCTTCTCAGAATGCTTTGTTGTGGCTCGTCCTTCGCAAACTTCTGATCGACCAGGTTCCTTTTCTTTGAATGGATGCATCGGAATCTTGAAGATCGAAAACAATGCGGTCACACCATCTCTCAAAGGGGGAAGAGATTAATTAATAATAGCTTTTGATGCTTAAAACTTTCATCTTTGTCAAGACATAATGACTAGGAAAGTGCCCTTCTCATACGGCTTGTCATAATCACAATAATTAGGATCTGGCGTACCGGTACATGTACCTGGTACCGGTGCCCAAGTATTACTACTCGTACGTGAAGTGCTATCGACCGATCTTTCCACCTTATGCTTCAAATTACATGTAGACCACTCCGCCGACGACCTGTGCTGAGTGCTTTCTCGACTATCAACCTTATTGGCACGACAAGCTCCAGATGGATTCGCATGATGGGATTAGTTCCACACAGATTGATTCGATTCATTGTCGTTGGCACAGCAAGAGCATCCAAGTCGTCTCAGCCCTTTTCAATCGAACTCTCGTGCCACAAAGCTAGCAGGCTACCGGTCTCTGGGTGGATAGCTACATGTAGATGATTGTCCTTCATGCAAGGAATTGTTGGAGGGATAGACGTTCCCTTGGTTGGGGTGCACGGCGATCCGTGCATCAGCTTGGCTGTTTCCTGGTTTCTGTCGGTCCCTCTCAGAGCAGGCAGGAGGGCTTTCCCGGCCAGGTAGCAGAAAGCAATGGAGCAACCTCTAATACGGGCCCAAAGCAAGGTTCACTCTTCAAGAACGTTCAAAGACCTGGGCTACAGAGAACGAAGTAGATTTGTGCAGACTCATCAATCAAAACGTGCGCGCCGAAAGCTACGGTAGTATGTATGCATGGGTGTCCACTCAGCCAGTAGCACACGTTTTCTTCTGGCTGTTTTGCTTCTCCAGCCCCAATCGAAGTTTTGTGTGAAAAAGATCCAGCTAGCTGCAGCATCAGTCGAAATGAACGAGAGGGTTTGACAGTTTGCATTATGCCAGGCTGGTTGGTTGGCAACTCTCCCTCGCATTGCTTTGAACTGCTGCTGCTCGTACCTGGCTTGTACTAGGGCCAGCCCAGCCTATACTTGTAATCTGCGCTAACGGTATGACTGACGGCTGCAAATTAACGATGAAAGAGCGAAACTTGCAACTTGCAAAGCCTCGAGGGCCCCCTGCCGCATCGCTCTTATGTTGAGCCCAGACGCGATGTAAAACAGCAAGCTCGTCTTGGTGCAAAGATCAAGCAACGATGCATCGAAACTAAGAAAGCTTCATTTCTCGATAACTATCCAACAAAGAAGGGCAGCTATTGGTTCTACAGCTAGCGTCAAAGTGGATCAGTTTGGTGCATGTAGTTGGGTATTAGAATGAATGATGAATCCTTAGAATCCTAACCAGGCATCAAATTCTTCGGGTGTCTTTCCCGTTCGAGCAATCAATCGTTTCTTGACGACTTCGGCAAGCTTTTCCACATCGACAAATCCCTTGGTAACAAGATTCATGCCGTATTTGTATAGATACAAGAATTCCTCCTTGACTTCGGGGACATCCAAATTGGCTTGAATATCAAAATCTGTAGGTGTCAGTACTCCATTGTCGGGATCTTCATCGTACGTCATGCCTCGTTCAATCATGAGTTCGTAAATGCCAATGCTGAGTTCTTCTTCGGTGGGGCTGGCATCGTCTTGTCGCAATGCTCGAAGCGCGTCCAATTCGGGTACTCCTTCGACGCCTTCTCCCAGTGATCCTTGCACATTGGAAATACATTTATCGGCCGCTTGTTCCAGATATTCTCGCATGGTCAATTTGGGCGCTTCTGGCATGGCAGAGGCAAAATCCGATTGGAAATCCGAAGACGACAGTTTCAGAACAATCTTATTATTATTATTGGAGGAGAATACAAAGGCAGGCCGTTGGTGCCATCTCATCATGGCGACAGAGGAGGATGATAGTGGTGGTGCTTGGAAACCAACAAAGGCATGGCTGCAGGATGCCGTCAAGGCAGCAACAAGGAGGGACAAGAACTTCATGGTGGTGTGATTCTGTTTGCTTGAAAGTGATACTATTTTTCTAAAGTGTTATTGCAATGCTGATGCTTAAAAAAAGCAGTGAGTTGGAACCTGCGGTTGTGATGCTTGCCTTGCGATGGTCCCATCCATCAAAAGGATGTTGAAGTTTCATTGGGGTGGTGTCAAATCTTGGGAGTGGAAAGATTCCCAATGATGTCACAAAGATGACTGACCCAGACTCGTCACTCGACTCGATCCCGTCCACCTCACGCAAGCGGATTGGAGGTCGCAGCGTGGCACGCGGGCCACAGCAAAGAATTCGCACAGCAGCAAAAGACGAATATTATATGGGGGTTTTTCGAGGCGAGAAAGGGGTGGAAGGCAGAAATCTGATTGGCTAATGAGTACCGAAGAACAATGTATATGTCAGCAGCGATTAAGGAACAAATAAAGAATCGTGACGTAAATATGACACATACCTAAGGAGTTAATGTGCTACCTAGTTTCGATTTTCGTGTTTCGCGAAAACAGAAAGAAGGATTCCTCCGTTCGTTCGATCGACAATGACATGCTGCCGCTCACCCTCAACTCGACAGTCATTATCTCCACCAAAACGAAGCAATTCCAGCACCAGCAGCAATGAATCCACCAACAGCAACAGCAGCTACCACTCACAATGGAGGAATGGGCTGCCAAAGTCAACAGAGGAACTCGCAACAGAAGAGAGCATATCACGCCTCCAACAACAACAACAACAGATCCAAGAGAGCGAGAGAAGAAGGACCACAAACAACACTGGTAGGAGTGGTAGCAGAAGTCTTTGATCCACTCAAGAACTGTGTCATCTGTAAGGCCAGACATCTTGGTTTCAGAGTCCCCAAGAGATCACACTCTGTCTTCTGTATTAAGAATACAGTAACAAGAGGAAGAGGAGATTTGAATGAGCTGACAATGGAAACCATCAGAGAGAGCAGACGACTCACAAGGCACTTCAGTGCTCCTCTTCCACTGAATGAGAGAGGAAGCTGGAAGCACTCAACAAAGGAGAATGGAGATGCCTTCTTTGCTGCTAGAACAAACACAGCCAAACCAAAGCAGAGCCGGCAACAGCAACAAAAGGCAGCAATAGCCACTCCAGTAGCTCTTTGTCAAAAGGTAACCACTCTTGTAAATGATAGTGCCTTTGTGGAAAAGCACAAGAAGAAAGGAGCATCACTGGCAATGCTAGCAATGGCAGAAGCAGTGTCAGAATCCATTACCAGGGCAAAGAATCCAGAACTCTTCCACAAACACTTCCAAGGACTCACCATGACAGTTCCCTCCACAGAGGAGCAATTCGAGTCTCCTCACTACACTCCATTGTTGGGCAGAAACTCCTTCTAGTGGACTGGAATCGATGTGGAATTACAGTTCCTTGTCCCGATGGAAGATGCTCTGGCAAACTCAAGAATACAAGGACAAACTGGTCACACAACAAGACCTTGTTCCCCATCTTTGGCATCACTGGTCCTCCTTCTTGGTGTATAGTCATGTCCATGGTTTGTGGAAGCTGCAACAGAAGATTCGTATGCCAACTCTGCAGAAGTGCTGGTCTCGATCCCAGACCATGCTTCATTGCTCTATCCAGTGGAGTCCAAGTATGCTCTACTAACAAGGCTTGTCACTTGCAGAGAACAGCTACTGAAGTGTTGACACTATAATGGTTACCTATGAATGGGACTCTGCAGCCGCTCACTTACAATGCAATCAACAGAGAGTTCATTAGGTCATGATGCATACTTCTCATACTGGCAAGGAAGTGAAACAGTCCGGGTCCTTCTTCAAAGATGGAACTTACATCAGACAGTTTCCTCCCCTTGGTGACACCATCCGTGACATCTATGATGCTTTGTGCTTCAAACAGGAATCTGGAGGATAGTGACAAAACGGCACACTAGAGAGATCCAAAGTGTCAGTTGCAACAAAGAATCTTCTGCAAGACCATCTTCCAGGTGATCAAGAACTACCAAGAGTCTTTGTGCTGCTGCTGTTTGGATGCTGCCACTGAACGGAGATTGCCTCTGCTGTTCTTGTTCCCACCACCAAGAACATCCACTTCTCCATGCTGCCATGCAGCTAGCAAGGAGGAGCCACTTCAACCAGCTGCCATGTACAGCGAACCTGGCCCACAAGGATGACTACGGGAGATACTCTTTCCAGGTACGAGGGAAGACTTGGCCTGTTTCATTATGAGAAGAGGATACTGTCAACTTTGAGAAAGGGACATATTGATCACTATCAAGCTATGTCAGACCTCTTGGATTGCTTGTAGTGTACTCACCGATGACTATGAGAAGGCTGCTCATGCTCTAAACATGGTCTACTATCCACCAATGGCAAGACTGTTACTCATGGCTGAGATCTCGAATGCAAGCTCTCCAAGGTCTTAAGATCGGTACTCCAAGTACTAAGGAAGCAGATGAGGTCACCAGAAACAATTAGACAGAAGTTGCAACAGTGGTTCTGCAGATACAAGGTGACAGCCAGTGATGTAGCCAGCCAGGACAGGGGCGACTGGATCCAGTCAAGAACTATACCTTGTTCACTTCTGATACCAAGCCAGCAGTAGAGAACTGTGTGAAAAGCGCTCACTTGGCTGATCCCCTGGCACTGGAAGACATGTATGACACCATCCTACCATCACCAATTCCAAGCACAACCTCCCAGAGTACTATCAAGGAGAGGAGAATCGAAGTTAGAAGCGTTCCATGACAAGTTTGCTCATTCTTGGTAATGGTGGTATGAGGAGTCTCTTGCTGATGCACTCAACCTTGGCTGGAAGCAAGATACAACCTCAAGATTAGACACAAGAGAGCCTTCCTGTCAAGAATCAGTCTGGACAGAAGAGGTCAATTCCAGCTGGATGGAAAAGGTTGTTCCATACTGGAACCATTCAGAGTTGGCTTACCTAAATGAGCTGGCACTGGCTGTGGGTGTGGATGAGCCATTTCCAAATGCAGAGCCATTGCCACAGGATACAGGAGGAGGTTCTTTTCAGAGTTAATTGTTATTCAAACCACAAGAGCAAAGTATGCCCAATGATTGTTGTCTTTGTGCAGTTGCACTGGAGCACCACCAGCCACCAGCATCGAGCTACCACCGAGTCCACCAGCATCGAGCCACCGACTCCACCAGCAATCAATCCACCACCCACCAGCATCGAGCCACCGACTCCACCAGCAATGTTCCGCCACCGCCGCCACCTCCTCCACCACCAACCCAAGCAGCTGTGCACAAACAACAAACAATTACATGATAACCTGCAAACAAGAAATGCTTATGTTGGTAATTTGATTCTAACCAGCAACAACACCAGATTCAAATGAGGCAACTTGCCTTAATGCAGCAGCAATTCCAACCAGTACTGCCATCTCCTTTCCAGCCACCTCACCAAATGGCTGCTGTCAGAAATATTGCCAATGGTTGACTCATAGGAGAGGAAGACCACTCATGATCCTACTTGCCAATCTAAATGAGTGGGTATGGGTAGCAACAAAAGAGTAATATTTAGATACACCAATTTGATTTCTAGTTTAGACATCAACTTACATAAAATTTCCACAATGTACAGCATTGTGTGGTTGCAAGATCCAAGTGTCAAGGTCTTCAAAAACATCACAACAAAACTCTGACTCATGGAAACCAAAACCTGAAAGGAAAATTTGTTGTTGTAGTCATACCAGTGGCAACAATACCCATGCCAAGCATCCATCAATATCTGTCCTTCATTGGAGTGAAAGTCATAGCTGCTATCCATAATCATTCCCTCACTAACCAATAGATGCACTCAATGAAGATGTCCTTCCTTTCACAGGATGTGGCGACTCCACATTTCAGAAAGGGTAGCAATAACAGCACGGTACCATTGTGGACTTTTCTGAAGGCCCGATTCAAACATGTAGTCCATGATGCCTGTCATATCAGGAGGAAGGCTTGCACGCTCCTTGCAATATCAACTCCTCAAGAACGTCACTTCCATGCTGTTGTGGCAAACAGAAGTTATCCCCCTCATCACTGTTGTACCCACAAATGACATACTTGCATGAATCTGCCTTGTTCCCTCAGCCATTGAATGGGTATCTGTTGACACTTTGCAGCCACTTGGAGAAGGCAGGAGAAGTAGTTGCGATCCTCATGGTCGATTGGTTGTTCTTGTCGTCGGTCGGTAGTGACCAGTATCCGTAGAGGAAGAGGGAGGAGCGTCGGTAGTGGACTGAGCGTCGGTAGTGGACTGCCAGGAGGCGTCGGTGTAGTGGAAGGAGAGAAGGACGACTTTGGATCGGTGGACGGAGATAGAACGATTAGTAGCATGCCATTGTCGCCATTGTGGAAACAACAACAACAACAACAACAACACCGGCAACACTCACCACCGACTGCTTTCAACAGTGGTATCAGCGATTTGAATTTGTGGAAAGTGGGAAGGTCTGGTGCGAGCGAAGGAATGGGAAGGATGAGCCAGCAAGGAGCCGTTGAAAGATTTGAATTGACTGTCAGTTGACATGGTTGACGTACATTCTGACGTATTTTCTTGTTCTTTCTTGTTCTTCGGACGTCGCAGGGGAGAAGAATTAGGAGACACATGAAGTCATTGCTGTTTCCCCTCTCTCTCGTGTATTTGGCTGGTGTCGAAATGACTGGATGAAGCCATGCATGCTCTCAACGTCTGGAATTGGGAATCCAACTGATAACCCTCTCCCTCTCCTCTTCTTTTTCCCTCCCCCGCGCTGCAGCCTAACCCCCCCATAAAGTCAGAGTAGGGAAATTATCTACGGAAGGCAGGCAAAAGACAAATTGATCTAATTAATTTATAGGCGAGTAACAAAGAAAGGCTGATCACCATGGCGTCTGAGTCCATCGCTACTGGTACTGTCGGCACTGTGTCTGGTGCTGGCGTTGAGGAGAAAAAGCAGCAACCCTCCCCCATGGACATGTTGCTGGATCGAAAAGATATTTGGGTGGGGCAGATCCTGCCGTGCCTCGGTATGGGACACTATGCTTTTGTTGGGGCTGTCGACAAGAGAATGAACCATCTGTACAAGGAGTACTGTGATACAGTGAAAAATCCTCCCGTTGTGAAAAATGGAGAAAAGTATCATCAGAAGCGCGCAGCAACCAGCACAGACACATTCTACGGAAACACATTTTGCAATTTGTCATGTACCAAACACTGGCATGCCGACAAGTCCGAGGAGAAGACTCCCAGAGATTGCCAAGTCTCCACCAAAATTGCTAGAGTTGGAAGTCTAGCAGTTCTTCAATGGGCGCATGAAAATGGATATACATGGAATCAATTGACATGTAAGGCTGCTGCTCGACATGGACATTTGGAAGTTCTCAAATGGGCCAGAGACAAGGAGTGCCCTTGGAATGAACAAAGCTGCATCACGATCGCAGCTGCTAGTGGCCATTTGGAAGTTGTACAGTGGATCTTTGAAATCGGATTCCAAGATGGAGATGCCTGTCCAAATAGTTTGGCATGTAAACGCGCTGCCGGAGGAGGTCATTTGGACATTTTGAAATGGTTACATGAAAATGGATGCTGTTTGACGGAATGGACATGTGCAGAGGCTGCCAGCAATGGGCACCTACATTGTCTGAAATATGCTCGAGAAAATGGGTGTAGCTGGGACACAGAGACATGCAAAGAAGCTGCCAAGAACGGGCACCTGGAAGTTCTAACATGGGCTCGTGAAAATGGGTGTCCATGGAATGCATCAACATGTCGAGAAGCTGCTCTAAATGGACATGTGGAAATTTTGAAGTGTGCTCGAGAACTTGGTTGTCCATGGGATGAGCGCACCTGTGCAGCTGCTGCTGGCCATGGACATTTGGAAACTTTGAAGTGGGCTCGTGAAAATGGGTGTCCATGGGACACATACACGTGTTCCGGTGCTGCTGAAGGTGGACATTTGAAAATACTGCAGTGGGCTCGTGAAAATGGTTGTCCATGGGACACATTCACATGTGAGACCGCTGCTGAATGTGGACATTTGGAGATTTTAAAGTGGGCTCGTGAAAATGGGTGTCCATGGGATGAACAGACATTTAGAGCTGCTGGGCTAAGCGAGAGTGGCAACAACAGTGCAGTGATCCAGTGGCTACGCGACAATGGCTGCCCTGGGTCTCATGAAGATGATGAAGGACACTAATAAGCATCGTCCCAGCATACCGGTATGCATATCACACACGTAGTAGGTAGTCCAGGCTAGCTAAAACTAAATTTCTTTATGTGCACTCACTCCAATGCACGTTAGTACGGTATCGATGCCCGCCTGTCTAGACACCATGAAGATGAGTAAGGACACTTCTGTAGCATCATTCATGGGAAGGTTGGGAAATGAATCAAAAGTAGACAAGCTCATGTTTCTTCCTACCGTAGCTAGCTATCGGGCTTAGTGTGATCTGGTAGCATCGACCACTCAGAAAACATTAGTAGAGAAGCTGCTGCTTGTTACATTTGTAGTTGCACTGGTAGAGGCTTTGGTAGGAGTTGCGTTGCCCGCTCATGGAATACTAGTACCGGGAACAACCCTTGAGCAGCAGCCAACGTGCGATTCGATTCAGGTCACGGAAATGTGCAGGTGCTGCGGGTATTTGGTGTTTACCTACTTACTCATTAATATCTCTTATTTGTATTGACCTGTTTAATGCCTGGTAGATCGATATACGAGCACAGCGCATAGTTTTGCCATTTGTTGGGCTTGACGATGGCGTACTCGAGACGAAGCTTGGTCGGTCTCAACCTGAAGTCGGCAAAGGCCGTTAGCAGGCTCTGCTCTTCTCGCTTCAACAAGCCAATCAAGAGTGGTTTGTCCGTTCGACCTCCTGCCACCTTCAGCACGGCATCTCGAATCGTCTGTGTGGGAATGCAGAAAAAGGGTGGATCGATCACGATTAGTGAATTGTGTTCCGAATCACCCACCCGCGGATCAAGCAGATCGAATCTACGGAACCTTGGCAGATAGCCGAACAAGCGTTCATCGATGTCGAGCAAGACCTCATTGCATGTCTGTTCGTGCCACGAATGAGCCAGGGACGGGGTAGTCAGACAGCAAACATCCGCTGCAAGTTGGAGACGGTCTCTTCCGTCCAAAAATACTGCTCGAGGTCGCGGCGCTCCACGAAACCTCAGTTTAACATGCTGCGGTTCTTGGCCTGCGTCATGTTGAGTTCTTGTTCTGTTGTTCTGCTTGTGGGTAAAAGTTTTATGCACTTGGGGTTGGTGGGGTGTTGGCTGTTTCTCGTTGCAAGTAGAGGGTCGCAATACGGTTCAGTGGGAATGGTCTTGGGGTCTCGAAGAGTGCTGATCTCCAACCACGACTGGAGGCCACTGCAAAACCGCCAGCGGAAAGAACAGCTTTCCCGACCTCGCTCTGGCGCACCATGGCAAGTTCTGGCTAGCTAGATACCTCTATTCCCTTGATCTATCCGTGGGCATCCTGGCAGTCGATTCGGTAGGTATACCGGGCAGAATATGGTTGAGCCGGTGTTTTCGTGCCCATGGTAGTGGCGTTGACACTCCCAACACGACGAGAGACGATCGATCTGTCGCCGTTGGGGTGCCGGTACTACCAGACTGCCGATGCGGACCTGGAATGGATACAGCGCATAGAAAGCACCACCGATTCCAGCCGGGTGAAGTCGGCAACAATTTTCTCTTCATATGTACCAGTACCTCCCGCTCCCACGCGGTTGGTGTCGGATGGCTGGATGGCCAACGGGCGCCAGATGTCATGACTGGAGAAGAAAGCTTCTGAGACCAAGTCTACGGGTATGTCGCCTTCACTCGTCAACGCAAGCTACCGGTAGCCAGAGCAAGCAAGATGTCCTTTAGCCGAATCTGCGATAACTATATCTTTCAGGCAGCTGCAGAATCTCTGGAGGATGGAAGCAGGTTCGCCGGAACGGGCTTCAGGTGAGCGCCGGCTGGTGGCAAATCTATGTGCAAGACGCCTACGACAGCAAGCACGCGTGTGTGCCCATACTGTCTTCTCGGCCAACGTTTGTCCTGCAGAGAGGTAGTTACCTGGCTTCGCACCAAGATAATTGAGGAGTGCTTCGACATTTTGACGGCACTTAGGGTCGCATCCTCGGCAGCACCCCAGCAAAACAAACCAAGTATCCACACATGAGACCAAGGCTAGCATCAAGACGTCCCGATGACATCGTTGGTTGGTGTGCTATGCATACATATCACGGGAAGCTTGCATGCTGTGTTCTGCGTTCCAATCTTCCTTAACTGCCGTCAGCTCAACACGGAGTGAAACCACATCCGGATCTTCGTCATCGCCAGCTTGCCTGCTACGGTCGCCACGGATAGTTACCTTTCGGGTCCCCCTGTTTGAATGATCAGACCCCTGCTGATGGAGACTACTGCTGGGTGCCGTTGCCAGAATGTTTGTACCAGAGATCTTCCGTGAATGATCCGATGAGCCACTTAGCAGGTTTGTTCCAGAGGGTCCCTTGGCATGGCGTTGCCAATACTTTGGAAGAAAAACAGGCAAGAGTATGGCCAGACAGCCAATGCAAATGGCTATAGAAGCCACCAGGTAGTAGGCTGTAGGATCGTTGAAAACCACGAAGATGATTGGGACTATCCAGCCGCGATTGCAAAAAGAATGGCAAAGAGGCAGAGGCGAATCAGTGACACATCAATGATTCCCAGTTGTCATCTCTTCCAACGCTCAGTGACCACAAGAATGAACTTACTTCCGAACAGAAACGTTTCACAGAGGCTGACCAGGGACACATTCAAATAGCCTTGTTCTGAGAGCTCACAGGGGATATGACGTGCTCGATAGGATTGATAAGTAGCCATGACCAATGCACCCACATTGGCCACTACTAGAGGCACTGCAAAGAACAGATACCACTGGCTTTCGTCTGGCTGACAAACTCCATAGGATTCTGTTGCTCGACCAAATTGATCGACATTGTCCTCTGCTGGTATTCGGTTCCACCGCATCCTAAAGGGAGACGCTGTCCAGGCTGTCAAGATCACCACATTCACACCCAGCAAAACCACAGTCGACTTCATGACATCTGTTGCTTTGACTGTAACTCTTCGAAATCCCCTTGAAGAGTCCAACAGTTTCAATATCCTGGATGCTTTGCTCCATAGGGCTGAAATCGCAAGAGCAAAGCCAATGCAGAATGTCCAAGGAACAGACATACAGGCAGCATCCAATCCTGGCAAATCTTCCTGCCAACCCATGGGGACAATGGTAACAGCAACAATAAAAGTCCCAAGACAAAGCTGAAGCAGAAATGGTGGCTGGGATGACTTGACAGAGAAGATTGTTCGATTGTTCCAAACCCAAATGGCAAAGAAGGCCGATAACAGCATGACCAGCCCAGCAAGACACAAGCAAAAGCCCAAAACTGAGCTTGGGATGAGATTGAGATCTTCTTGTAGCAGCGGCAAGGCAACTGGCGGTGTGGTTGAGTTGTCGTGATGCACAAATGGCTGATGATGCACGACGTCGATGTTGTTGTAAGATTGCCCTGATTCATCCATGGCTGGTGTGACCTCGACAACAGCAATCGTTTCTCTTGAGAATGTGACTTTGGATGATGCTGGATTGTTGTTGTTTTCTTGGTAGTCGGAAAGAACCAGATTGACAATGGGATACTCCAGGTTGGCCCCTAGTCTTGTCCCAGTCACATTGTCAAGTAGAACCCTACCAGAGACTCCCAGGAAATCAATATCCAGAAGTTTTTCGTAGAATTCTCGTCCAGTAAAGAGTCCTGTGGACTCGCAGGCTGTGATTCCAATAGCAATCATGGCATCGTATGTAAGATATTGGTACAGAGATCGCCCTGGTTGCTCGGCAAATGTATAGTTCTGCAGAAGTCCTGGTTCGGCTTGTCGTGACAAGAACTCTTGCTGCAACTCTGGATCATTGGCAAAGTTTGTCATGGCATGATCAAATGGCGGATATGGCTTTACACCTAGGTTGACCACTCCTGTCCCATGTAGAGCCAATGCAATATCCATTTCTGTGGATCGGTCGAGATAGAACTCCTCTCCCACCAATTCAATGAGATCCGGCAGCAGCCAGAGGTGATCTGAGTTGCCCATGAGTCCAAATTGCTGGGCACTTCTGACCACGGGTTTCCATGATGCCGGATTCAATGCGGCAACAAAGTATTTGAGTTTGGAATCCACGAGTTGCTGCATGGCAGTTTTGTAGATTGCTCCATCGCTATCGTCTTTCTTGACAGCAACTGGATTGCTAAAGGGAACAGTGGTCAATGTCATGCCGTATTTCTGTGCAAAGAACTGGAGATCCTTTTCATAGCGGCGTCCCCAGGAATCCATGACAAAGAGCAATCCAAAGTGTCGTACTCCCAGCGTATACAAATAGTAGACACTGGCATGAGCATCCCCCGTGTTGGGGAGTGTTCGAGCAAAGTAGGGAGCAAAATCCAGAGCCTCTGCGGTGCTCGATGCACTGACTTGAGGAAGTTGCAATGCCGAGGACAAGTAACTGATACTTTGGGAAACAGCCGATCGTGCGGCACCCAAAATGACAAACGGCTGCTGCTGCTGATTGGTGGGATCTTCTTCTTTTGGCGGGGAAAACAAGTCATAGTCCAGGACATTTCTAGCTGCCTGAATGGGCGAGAATTGTGTATCATGATGCTTGGTAGTCATGGTGAAATCGCATTGACCCAGACGGCGTGGCAGATGGGGTAACACACTTCCCTCAAGGTTTTCGAGATGCTTGTGGGCCAGAAACGCTGCTACTTGGACGTAAAGACGGAATTCCACCAGTTCTCGCTCTCCATCATCGTTTCTCCTGCTCAGTGGCAACAAGACCATGGCATGGCCCTGCCGTCGTTTCTGTCGCTCACCAACCTCATAGTTCTGATCGGTATATCGGATTCGACTTGCCGAAATTATATCGGAAGAGGAGATAAAGTTGCTCCCACGTTCCGACATCACTTCACTCATCACTCTTCATCAATCTGTGGCGGTGCCCAGGAAACGAACGCGAAGTTGACCCACAACGAAAGGCAAAAGCTGTAAAACGAGAACAGGAAGATCGAGGGCAACTACATATGGGCGCTCACCGAAACAACAAATTGCTGGGATTCACTACTTAAATCCTAGGCATATCTTTTGAAGCGGTGCAATTAAAGCAAGTAATTGCAATTTCAGCAGTTGTGCTGAAATTACATAGTGACGCTGAAATTGCATAAATCCTCGTGATAATAAGCGCGATACCGGCTGAAATTTCACTAAGGCACTGAAATTGCACTCTCTAAGTGACATTTCAGCTCGAGAGTGAGATTTAAGCCAAAGACACTATTTAAATTCAATTTGAGAGGTGTTAAACAAAGAAATGGTTGTTTGGGTAAGCGCCATGCTTGTATCGGTACCATCAATGTATCAATCGACAATCGACGCTGTTAGACGCTGTGGCGGAAAGGGAGCAACAGTCGGCTACAAAAACAACGAGCTTTTCGATGATTGTAAATGGGCAATGTGTCCTCGGCATCTGTCCTCTAATTCTCTCGAAAACAGAAACACTAAAGACCACAGCTATCTTATTGACAAAATGACTTTTCTGTAGCCATCCCGTTAATTAATAAAGATGCAATGCTGAAGCGAATCTGACATTCAGAAAATGCCAAGTTTGGCGCGCAGCGCCAAGTTTTGCACAAGCTCCCAGGAGAGGAGGAGGGGGGAGAGCTACCACAGAACATCAGCCAAAGCAGGGTGTCAACCAGTAGAAGACAAGATCCACCACCAGAGCCGTACACACAGAGGTCATGCAGGGATCATGCTAGCATTTGTAGTTTACTTTTAGTTGTTGCTAGTAGTTGTTGCATAGTGTATTGCATAGTGTAATGCAAGCAGCATGGCCATGGCGGATTTGTTTTTTGCTTGTTGTAGCTCATGCCGGATCTGCCAAATGTGCAAAACTAAACCACCCAATTTACAGTACTGTTCTACAGAGCAGTGCCGATTTTCTAGCCAGAATGGAAAATGCATGACGTTAAATAATAGGTTTACCTTTTGCAGCCAGTGAACCAATACCGATTCAGTTCACTGAACCCCATCCAAACTTTCACCCCACAGAACGGATTTTGAATCCAATCCCTGTTACAGCATGACTCAACTCTTTGTGTTAGACTGCGGATCAGATAATAAAATGCACCACCAGCACACCACCACAAAAACAAAAGCAACAGCAACAATGGATGGGCAGCAAGCATCTTGGAGAAGGGGTGGAGCAATCCCCGATCGAGATAGTGTTCTCAAAGCTGCAATCAAGCTATGGGACAAATTCATGGAATTCAAATACGACAATATTGGTGCAGCTGACTTGGCAGGAGACAACTCGCTTGTTCTTCTAACTGAGTTATGTACCCAGTGGGGAGAGAATCCACCGATGAAGCCTAATGGTCAGCCTTACGCTCTTTCGGGTTTGACCAAGTATATACGAACCATTATCCATGATCTCAAGAAGACTTTTGGCAATAACGATGCCATCAGAAATGGCCCAGAGCTGTTCACTACCGAGGAGGTCAATCAGCTAGTTAAAATGCTGGAAGGAAATCATGGTAGAACTCTGATGATTGGCAGCAGAGAATCGGATGTATTCAAAGAATCATTTCCTATTCCTAGGCAGCACAGTGCAAGAACCAGGACACTACCTTTCAATGATTTTCCGAACAACAATTTGAGAGATATGTCAAGATCTGTGGAGCTGTTCGCGATGGCTCAAAGGTTGTTTACCAGGGGAGAATTCACTAAGCTTTGTAAGCTTCTATTTACCTTCAACGGCATAGGCAGAGGAGGAGAAGTGAAATTTCTGTCATACGACAAGATGTTCATGTGTTTTCATTTCAATGTTCTATTTATGCAGTGGTTCCAGAGGAAGGAACTCAAAACCAATCCTTCTGGTTTTTGCATGGATTTCCAATACCCCGAGCTCTGTATTTTCTTCCAACTGGGTTGTTTTTGGTCAGTTGACAATGGCCTCTCGAGGAATCGAAATGATATGGTTGACCCTAACTCTCCTCGATACAGGACTGCAAAGTTTGTATTTCCTGATCTACACGAGATTGCTGATGACAGTGTCGCTAGGCAAATGACCACTCTGATTAGAACATTGGTGCCCGAGCAGCTGAAGAAATTCTATTCGGTGAAGTCACTGCCAACTGGTGCCATGTCTTTGCTTCAATGGAACAGCTCGGTACTCCTACAAGAAGGCATTGCTCTTGGTGGATGGAAAACTGGAGCCAACAGCGATTGGTATGTTTGGATTTACTTGGTTGCTATTGTCCCAGCTGTTTTGGCATTAGCTGGGTACCCACAGCCGAGAATCATCCCAACTCTACCAGATATTGAACTCTTATATCAAGATCCAGACCCTAACATGGTATTCAGTGCAGTGAAGCTTCCTGATTTTATCAACAGCTTATTTGTCATATCCCTCCCAGAGTTTCAAGGTCCCAATGGTCGATTACGGAACCTACTGTTGGTGGTCGTAGCAGTGATGATTAAGAACTTCCGACACTGCGAGAGGAAATATGGAAATGGGCATCCCTACGTTGTTAAAATGATTGGGGCTACTATCTCCTCTGGCTTGGCAGTTGGCAATGCCGATGGCAGTGTCAAGCTCAAACACTGGTCCCGCAAGATTACTATGGAACTCACGAGAGCTGTGCCTGTCATGCTCGATACCAATGACAATGGATTAGTTGCCAATGCCGATGGATCTGTGGTTGCTCCGGGTATTAAGCAAGAGCTTACCATGATAAATCACAATTTGGGAGAGCTGTTACGGGAAAGAAATGCCATGCAACAGCAGCTCGAAGCCAATAAGCAGGAGATCCAGTCACTCAAAGCAGATATGCAGGACGTCAAATCGGGCCAATACAGAACTGCAGGAAACCAGGAAGAAATGATGACGTCAGTCCGAGCAATTTCACAATCACTGGCCCAACTACAGTTACAACCACAGAGACAACAGGCCAACCCACCTCCCAGACAAGAGCCACCACCAAGGCAGCAACAGGTACGACAGCCTGCACAAGTTGTGCCACCACCTGCATTACCACCCCCACCAGTGGCCCCAACTCTTCCACCACCAGTGGCGCTACTGCAACCACCACCTCCTGCACCCCTAGTACGCAACACTCTTTATTCGAGGCTCCAACGCACCAGAGCTACAGACCCGGGTTCAAATGGAAGAGGGAAAACCAAGACGGAGAGTACTGTAAAGTTTGTGATGATGGATTTGTATGACTCGAACCATTTCAGAAGTCTTGGTCAAACCAATCCACACCTGGATTCCCTATGGTCGCATGTCAACACCAAGTTTTTCCGAGCTGAGAGGAGGCACAGGAATACTCTGATGCTGGCCCTTCGACTAGTTGATTGTATTTGGACAAGCGAAGAAAGGCTGGCATCCATCAACGGAAGCTTTCCCTCAAGAGATGATGCTCTCAATGCCTATCATGGAATAGACTTATTTGTTAAGCGAGCTGTTCATATTTTCTCCAAACCAACCAATGAAAAACCAAATCCAAGACGAAAATCAGCACTGCTTGGAGTTGGAACTTCAATACACAGCAGTGGTGTTTCGGAGCTTCTAAAAACCTTTGTCCCAAACTGGAATGCTCCACAAGCTCCAGGCTGGCAAACTCTGAGAGATTATGTTGTCACCAAGGAAACAGAATTGAGGAACAGAAGATTACATCCAAGTAGAACTAACCATGCATAATTTTTTCAAATTTACTTACTATTAGTGCTCGGAAGCCACACGCCCCCATGCTGGAATTGGGACCAAATCGGTATTGGCTCTGAGAGTTTGAAACTCCACAAGGGTCCTGCCCTGGAATGGTGGGTGCAGATCAACACATCTGAAGGCATGAATGACACATACTTGCTTGTCATCACTCCATGCAATACCATTCAGAGCATCAAGAACGAATTTAACCAGATTGTCAATATCAGGTTTTTCAATTCTGGAAAGGGGACTGTGGCCTACTGTGGCGAATCTTTGGAACTGTGGTTTCAACCTTTGTCCATCTCTGTTGATGAAAAACGATAAGTTGGGCTTGGTACAAAACCACATGGTAGCTGTAACTCTTGAATTTGGAATAACTGGAAGAGTATGTTGACCCAGCTGGGCTGTTGCCTTAGTGCGGAATTGAGCAGTATTGGCTAGCATGGTTTTGTTAGTAGTCACATTCCTGTAGAATTTGCCAGAATACTTGTTGTGCCCAGAAATAAACTCAGGTCTTGACCAAGGAGAAGGTTTTCCAAATATGATAATCCGATGATGCTCAGTATGCCCACTGGCTACAATCTCTACTCCCTCATCTTCCTCTGGATCAAGTTCAATGAGAGTATCAATGGTGTCATCCATATTTGCCAGATGCCGGATTTGTGAAGTTGCTGTTGCTTTTGCTGAGTTTGGGTGGGTCAATGGTTAATGCCAAGAATTATGTAAAAACCGGAGCATTACAGGCCGTCCCAGGCATCTATATCTTTTGCCCCACTATAGAGAAATTAGTACACAGTCTGTCATGCTGATTAGTTGGTGTCACAAATTTGATTGGATGAGGGATTCTCTCTTCCCATGAAGCAATCCGCCATTGGGAGCTACCTTGTAGTATAACGTAAGAGAGGTATCTGGATAGCATAAATTTCTAGAACAATAACAACAACGCTAGTAGATATTTAGCTAGTCTCGCCATGTGAAGAATCTTGCTCTAGAAGCAGACACTTCTTCTCTGATGGGTCGGTAGAAAACATGAATTCGACGGCACTCAGAATCAGTCCCTGCCACCCATTTATGCACGTGCTTCCAACCATAGAAAATATGCCATTTGTTGGTTTCGTGCTTCAATTGAAACATGGGCCTGGGCTTCCTCAGAACAGGATGTTTTTTTGCGTCTTGCAGGACATCCGCAAGGCTGACAATGTTCAAAGTGGCTGTGGTATGGTGTACACTATAGTAGCTTGGGGCTGTTTGGATTTTCTTTTGTTTGATGCCCACGACAATGAAGCTGTGAAGGTCTCCTACAGGTTCCAACTTGTCAATTGTTGAGGGTGGGAACTTGAAATAGTGGGGATCACCTTTGTCATTTTTGCCTATCATTACGAGTCGTGCTGGACTATACTGGTGGGGTATGTAGTAGTCTCCCTTATACGAAACCACGGATGAATGAAACTTGGGGAAGAGTCGTATTCTCAAGTGGAATGTATTGCCAGGTTCTATAAAAATAAAGTTGGGAGTGGCTCCTCTGAAAGTATCCGTGTGCTCTCCTGTCTGGGCTCCCACCACAAGATTGACTCTCATATAATCCTGGGTAGCATTCCTGATTTGAGAGCTGGGATGTGACAGATAAATTGCTCGTTGAATATTCAACAGGAACTGAAGATGCTGCCTTGAAAATTGACACATCTTGTACCCATAGTAGACCTCAGAATGCTCATTCTCGTACCGGAGGCCAAGACTTCGTGTACCGAATTTCATACCACTGGCAGAATGTACTGGAAATTGGAGATTGTTTCTGTGGGCACCGTAATCAGCATTTGGATCCACATATCCTGCGCTGGGATCTAACATGCACAACAATTTGTCATGGTCCAGTCCACTGCGAGGATAATCTTGACAGATCAGTAGATTGAGCTTTTCAATTTCCAGTTTAATTTTAGCTCTTGACTGCCGCTTCTGGGAGACAACGGTAAGAGTGCTGGCCATTCCTGCTGCTGGAGTGGTGCTGGAAGAGTCAATGCTGATGCCAGTGTCCAAGCCTGTGCCATGCCGATGACGATGCTGCTGTTGGGATGCTGCTGTTGGGATGAGAGATGAAGAAATGCTGCTGTTGTTGCTGTTGTTATTCTGTGCAGTTTTGGCAGATCCGCAGTCCTGTTCTGCAAAACTCCATTGCTGAACACCCTGCATGCATAGGGTTAATCACTTGTGCAAAACTTGTACGTCCTGAGCCAGAAAGAACAGACAGTTGAGACGGTGTTAAACAAAGACTTGCCTCATTGACAAAGACAGCTGTATCCGATAAGCTCCTTGTGTCATGTTTGACCAGGCCAACCCCACCGCACGGCCAAGCGGCCAGGGCTCTCTCCCTCAGGCTTGGTCTTAACACAGCTTCGCCCTTCGCCATTTCGCACCTTCGCGGTACCCAAACCATGACGTCAGTGCTGAGAAGGAATTTCAGTTTGGATCTTTCTTCGCACCTCCGCCACCTTCGCCAAATCGCGCCTGGTGGACTGTGAGTCTTTTCTGTTTGATCACAATGAAGGTCCCTCGACTGGGTAAAAGCAAGGTCGAACGAAAGACACCAACCATGATAAACAATAGAGCGATCACAAGATAGTAGATAAACAATGTGATGTGTATGATTCAATCAATTCTTTAGAAATTTAGATGTGCTTGTTAGATTAGATGTATCTGTTTGCTTAGACAAGATGCTGGCTTGGAGACTGCTGACAGCAGTTGGGTTCTCTCTTTCGGAGATTGTCTATCGCTCTTCTGGATTCGTACCTCTGCAACAGAGCAACAGATTGCTTCCTCTCACAAAGCTGGGCAAAATGAGCTCTGATGATGGCGGAGAGGAGTTCTTGCATTCAGATCAACTCGCACAGTCTCCTGGGGATGAGGACTCTCCTTTGATTGCCCATGATGATGGCCAACGGGTAACATTTCGCCCTCGTGCTCCGGCTCCCAGTCCTCGTATGGTTCCACCCAGAAGAGTCATGACAACCAATGCTGCCAACAGTGGGTTTTACTCGCTGATGGATCCACCACCTGGAGCAAACAGCATTATGGTAAATGACTTCCGCCACAGTTTGTGGAATGCACAGCCAGGATTCCCACCTGCAGGAAGAGTTATGCCTGATGTGACAGCAGCCGGTTTGCCAGTTCAGTATCAGCCAGAACTGTCCAATAATACCCATCCTACGCAAGCACCTGTACCTGGGACACCGATAGGAAAGCCACCACTCGCCCCTGCTCCTACCACGAAGAAGAAAGCCAAAGAAAACAAGGAGCTGCCCAACCAGTTGAAGGCATTTACTTTTGAACACCGAAACCGAGTGGTCCTTGCTGATGATATGAATACTAGGAGCAAGAGCGACAAAGGGCCTTACAAGACTGCAGTGGGGATACGTGTCGGAAGAGAGAACACCGACAGCTACAGGTATTTTGACTTGAAAGTTGACCTGAACTCATCACAGCTACGTCAGCTGACAAAGAATTTCGGGTGTAAGAATACTGGTTCATGCTCTATGTTTGACTGTCGAAGACAAATGGCTTTGGCTATTGAGATGGGAACGACATATGACAACATGCAAGTTCCAAGTACAGTCTCGAGCACAATGGAAAGGAAGATCCGGTCCCTAATCTGGCTTATAAATACAGTTTTCCTCCCTTGTTTCATTGACAGATTTGTTTCTTTGACCAAGAGATTCGATCGAAAGGCTTTCGAACTGAACTCAGGGCAGAGTCCAATAAAGGGATATTGGACGGACGTCTCAGCCATGTACATTGATCCAGAGAACAATGACTCCATCGGTAAAGTTCTCTACTCAGATCCAGGAGGGGATGATGTTGACGAGTGGCTTGCAACTGCTGTCGAAGAGCAAGGAATCAATCCCAACGATTTCAGTAATCTCTCAGCAGAGAGCTGTCAAGCACACATGAAAGATTTGTTGAAAGCAAGAGAGCAAGTGATTATTGCGAAGACTCGTTCAGGACAACATCAAGTGT